ATGACCTGGCCAGCTCCTTGGTGGAAGCTTAAATGGATACAATCCTCTCCTAAGAGCAAATGGCTGGAGAAACTAGAAAATGTAAGTTACTTTGATTTCCAGCCCAAGGCATGCTCCCTAAGGAATTAGTGAGGATGTAGAGTCTAAATAACATTAGGTGTTATCCCGAGCTACCCCACACCGTGAGAAGTACATGAGCCATCATGACAGGTGACTGGACACAAGGCTCCAGGTTATTCTTTCCCAAGAAGCCCTTCCACTTACAGATAGTCGGCAAGGGTGGCAAAAGATCATGTGGTTTGGGCTGGGGTTGTGGCTCAGTGGTAGAGTGTTTGAATAGCATGCATGAGGCACTGAGTTCAGTCCTCAGCACCACATACAAATAAAATTGTGTTGACCTAAAACTGAAAAATAAACATCCAGAAAAAAAAAAGGCCACGTGGCTTGGATTTGATGGCTTCAGAAGAACTATGTGAATTGGAGCTCTCCTGGCTGGGAATTAGGATCCATGAAGAACCCTTCCCAAAGAAAGCCCTCATCCTCAAGTCATCTGCAGAAGAGCTTCTGGATTGTGTGTGCTTTTTCCCTAAATGCTCAGAAGGGGGCAGACGTTCATTTCTAATCAGCTATGAGGAACAAAGCTGGAGAATTCCTGTTTGGTTTGTCATCTCTTTTGGCCCCAATCTACCATCTCCCTCTACCAAGTGATGGAGAAGAGAACAGGAAATGAGGCTTCTTTAGAACCTGGGCAGTCTTAGGCAAGCTAGCCTTGGGACTTGCCCTATGAATATGAAGTCAGTGACTTTCTAGCCCAGGATGCTGGGGCCAGCAGTTAACAGGGTACATTTCTAAACCCTAGTACCCCGTTCATTCTGGATGGTGACAAGTCTGAGTGTTCCTCACTGGGGATCCATGGCAAGACAATTATTCATTCAACAATTTATTTATTGAATGCCACTGTGGGTTAGACACTGGAGCTGTTAACAGTGAATAAATGGACCTGTCTCAGGCCCCAAGAGTCTGATGGCACAGTCTTTCCCTTTAGCGTCTGGTTTTGCAGCCTGGATGTGTCTGCCAACAGCCGAATGGTGGTCACAGGAGACAACGTGGGGCATGTGATCCTGCTGAACACAGATGGCAAGGAGGTGCGTTCTCTGTAGCCAAGGTCCTCTCTGTCCCTCCCTTGCCCCTGACTCAGTTCTGTGTCCCCACCTGAACCAGTCTCTCTTCTGCAGCTTTGGAATCTCCGAATGCACAAAAAGAAAGTGACCCATCTGGCTCTAAACCCCTGCTGTGACTGGCTACTGGCCACAGCTTCCGTAGATCAAACAGTGAAACTCTGGGACCTGCGCCAGATTAGAGGGAAAGCCAGCTTCCTTTACTCGCTGCCACACAGGCATCCTGTCAACTCAGGTACGGCAGCCCACGTCTCAGCTTTCCTGCAGACCCTGCCTATCCCACCACTGCTGGGGTTCTTTCTCAAAGTTTAGAAGGTACTAGGTCAGACTTTTACCCTCATAGCATCTACCAAACTGATATCTGGAAACTCTTCTGGCTCTGGCCCTTTCCATTGGCTGCTGAGTTTCTATATTTTTGTTCACAGCCAATTCACCTCTCTCTGCCACCCATCTAGAGAAGAGTGAGAGACAGGGTGCCCTGCAAGAGAAGGCCTTCAAAGGCCGGGATAACAAGGGGCTTGAGTTCTGTCAGCTCAGGGGCTTTTTATTTTGCCAGCTTGTTTCAGCCCTGATGGAGCCCGGCTCCTGACCACTGATCAGAAGAGTGAGATCCGGATTTACTCTGCCTCCCAGTGGGACTGTCCCCTGGACCTGATCCCACACCCTCACCGTCACTTCCAGCACCTAACACCCATCAAGGTGAGTGATGGAAGGAAGACAGCTGTGATCACTGGGGCAGACAAGGTCTGCCCAATCCCAGATCTCTTCTTGTTCTGATAAAAGCAGACTCTTAATCCTTTGGTTCTCTCTGCTCCTTCTCTCTCACTCCTGTGATTCCATTTTGTTGAATTTTGTTCATGTATCTCTGACAAGCTATTTTTCTGAGTTCTTTTCAGCCCAATCCTGATCTGACTGGGCGTTTTCTATGATCCTGACCCTCTGTTCTGTCCTGTTGCAGTTACATGTGTATGCAGCTGATCCACAAACTAACCTTCGCCTTCTTAGTTTGTCTTGCAGGTTTAGGTGGCTTCTAATAATAGAAATAAGTCCCTTACTTTCCCAATTTGGATCTCCGTTTCCTCATCTGTAAAAAGGGAATACTAGTATCTAACTGATAGGGTTGTTGTGAGGATGAATCAATATACTTAAAGCACTTGACACCATGCCTAGCACCTGGTGAGTACTTAGTAATGATGATTTAGTACCCCATGTCAAATCCAGTAATAAATAACATCAAGAATCATCCAGCAGTTGGTATTCTTGCTAATAATAATTTGTCCTCATCTCTCTTGTATCCTGCCAGGCCAGTTTCTCATCTGTGATTTGTTAGTGACTTATTTCCAAGCTACTGCATATCCAATTCCTCCTTCTTACAAACATGTCTTTCCTCCTTCAAAACCTCCATGATCCAAGTGTGGTGGCAACTGTAATCCTTGCAACTCCAGAGGCTTAGGCAGGAGGATCCCAAGTTCAAGGCCAGCCTCAGAAACTTAGCAAGACCCTTAGCAACTTAGTAAGACTCTGTCTCAAAAAATAAAAAAGGCTGGGGAGGCTGGGGTTGTAGCTTAGTGGTAGAGCGCTTGCTTACATATGTGAGGCACTGGGGTCTATCCTCAGCACCACATAAAAATACAAATAAAATATAAAAACAAATAACTAAAAAAAGGGGGAGTGGGATATGTGACTCAATGGTAAAGCACCCCTGGTTCAAATTCCCTAGTACCAAGAAAAAAAAAAATTCATCCAATTCTGTCATTCCAGTGAATATCAGATTTGTTTCAGGTAAGGCAAACTGGAGAAAATGAGTTTCCTCTCATTTTTTAGTCATTAGTAATTTTTTCTATCCTAGCCTACCAAACTCTACTCTACCCTATCCTATCCTACTTTGGTGCTGGGAATGAGTGAACCCAGGGTCACTCTACCATTCAGCTACATTCCCAGCCATTTTTATTTATTTTGAGACCAGGTCTTGCTAAATTGCCCAGGCTAGCCTCAAACTTCTCTTGCCTCAGGCTCCTGAGTGACTGGGATTACAGACAGGTGCCACTTTACTTGGCATCACTATCAATTTTATACTCTTATTCGTGTGTCTAGAGGAGGTTTATTAGTGGGGTTATGTTAGAACTTACATCCTATTTGGTTTTGGTCACCAGAGGCTTTTTGCTTTGTTATAGGATCACTTCCTAGGTTAATGCCTGGGCCAAGCTGATAAATAAAACACTTATCAAGTACTGGGGGTGTTGCTTAGTAGTACAGTACTTCCCTAGCATTCATGAGGCCCTGACTTTGATCCCCAGCACTGAAAGAAAACCACATTTATCAGTTGAAATTATCTCAAGACATGCAAAAGAGATTGAAGGTATGAAAGTGTCTTAAAGGCAAGGGAGGCCACCTAGAAATTAAAAATTTGCAAAGGTAGATGCACACACAGTAGAAAACCATCCTTGTAATTTCAAATAAGTCTTACCTCCCATTAGTTATGTTACAGGCTTGTTAGTGGCAAAGAATATGTTTGTTTATTTTTGCAGTACTAGGGATGACACCCAGGGCCTCACATGTGCTAGTCAAGCACTCTACCACTGAGCTACACCCCCAGCCCCACAAAGAATACTTTTAATGCCCCTCTTAACGAGGTTCTGTATTTAATTTTGTGGCCAACCTCTCCATCTCCTAGGCAACCTGGCATCCTCGGTACAACCTCATTGTTGTGGGCCGATACCCAGATCCTAATTTCAAAAGTTGTGCCCCCTATGAATTAAGAACGATTGATGTGTTTGATGGAAGCTCTGGGAAGATGATGTGTCAGCTCTATGACCCAGAATCTTCTGGTATCATTTCGGTGAGGCTTGGGCACTCATATGATGGGGTGGGGAAGCAGGAATTCACCCTACCTCAGCAGAAATTAGTCCTGTGTGCCCTTCTGTCTCTACCAATACCTTCACCCTCTCTTCATGTTGATACTCTTGTCTCTGCAGCTCAACGAGTTCAACCCCATAGGGGACACGCTGGCCTCTGCCATGGGTGAGTAGAAGCAGGTGTATCTCGGAGTGGCTAAGCCCAATACTACTCCCCAAGTTTCAGTGCAAGCTAAGCTCAATTTAGTCCTTCCACATTCACCTCAGGGCAGTAGCCAGTGAAGATGACTGGGATACAGTGGTCTCTCTGGCCCGGGCCCTCTTCCCTCATGCATTGTCATGGTCATGGCCATGCCTGGTTGCTGTCCAGTTTCCTAGCATTTCCTTACCAAGACCTAGGTTCCTTGGACCAGCCCCGAGCTCTCAGACTGATAGTGGAAGGTACAAGTCAGACTGTTCTTATTCTTTCTAGGTTATCACATTCTCATTTGGAGCCAGGAAGAGGCTAAGCCATGGGATGAAAATGAGACACATTGAAGAAAGTGTGGGCAAAGCAGCAGCTATGAGGCCACAAATGGAAATGAGTGCTATGAAGAGGCAGCTACCTGTTACCGGGCCAAAAGTATCCAAGTCTTAGGATTGAAGACGGGCACTGTGGGACGGGGACTGGGACATTGGAATGTTACTGCTTTTGACAGCTCCAGAAACTTAGGGTGATCCAGCTGCCCTAAGAGTCCTGTTATATCTAGCCTGGAGCCAAGCTTACCCTGAAGCTAAAGTACTTTTCTCCTTTCTGATAGGTGGTGGCTGAGTGATCAGGGCGTGGTTTTTTTTTTTTTTTTTTTTGGTTTGTACTCACTATTGACAAGGCCAATAAAACCAAATCCAACTGAGCTTCTGAGTAGATATGGCACTGACCCGGTCAAAGGGGTACTGGAGTCTCAGAAATGAAAAAAAGGCACAAAACCAGCATTCACAATCCAAAACTTCATTCTCCGGGAGCTACCTCAGCCTTATTCTGTGCTAGTCGAGCTATCCAATTCACCACCTACATTTACCTCAGGTCCCTGGAGAGCCCAATCCAGCTGAGGGAATTTTTCATGATTCTATATGATTTGCTCCCTCCCACCTCCCCCAACTCCCTCCCCAGTATAATACAAACCCCCTTCCAGACCTGCTCAAGTCATCAAGGGGTGACAGAAGTGCCTGAACCATTGAGACTAATGGTAGCTTCAGCTGGACAAAGGAAAACTTGGTTGGCTGGTTGTTGGGGGATCCAGGTCCTTGGTAGCAAATGTTGTGTACCCCCAGAGTTGTGCAATTTTTCCCTCTAAATAAGCACTGAGAGGCAAGATGATGTCCAGTGACCCATTTGCCAAAGACTCCAGGCTGGAAGATAAAGAGCAGGGCTTGGTGGAAGAGCAAGGCGGATCAAGCACCGACTCCTTCAGTTTTTTTTATCCCAGGTCCTGAGTGAAACCCGAATGCTTGTCTACATCTCAGGTCCTTGGGGAATATGGAAGAGGCAAATCCTGTTTGGAGAAAGCCAATGTCCAACACAGTACTTGGTGAACATCAGGCATGTGAATGCCGAGTGAATAGGTACCGTGGGCCAAGCCGAGCCCCACTTGCTCGTCTGGGCTGGTATAATTAAGGAGGCCCAACCCAGGGTCTCCTATCCATAGGCTGAGGAGCAGTAACAGTCAGGAACAGGGCCCAGCCCACCTCCCCTAGGAGGCAGAGGGAAGGGGGCTGAGTGGTTGTCAGGCATGGTCCTCCCCATCTGCAATGTGGCGGTAGCCAGGAGGCTGGGCCTGCATCCGGAAGAGGACGGTGAGGAGCAGCACTATGAGAAGGAAGAGTATGGAGCCACAGACAGCCAAGGCCACGATCACCTCTGGGCAGGGGGAGGGGAAGAGAAAGGTAAAGTTAGCATTCTTCCAACAAATGTTGAGCATCTACCATATGCCAGGTACTGTTCTGACATACAGGGGATATGCAGGCAGCCCTCATGGAGTTTATATCTAGCACATGGGTTCTATTTTCCCAGTGCTGGAGATCAAACTCAGGGCTCACATATAGAGGCAAGTGCTCTACCACTGAGCTACATCCCCAAGCCAAATTCACATTTTAGGAGGAAAGATCCAATAAACAAGCAAATGGTAGGAACAACAGGTTAGTGATAAGTACTATAAGAAGGTCAGTCAGGGAAGGCATCAATGAAGAAGTCAGACCAGACAATGAGTGAGACAAAGATATAAGAGCAGAGTGGGGGCAGGAAGCAACTACAGATGGCCAAAATATGGGAATAAACATGGCATGTTCCAAGATAAGCAAAACAATCTCACTGGACAAAGTAAACAAGGGGCAAATAGGAGATGGGGCAGAGAACCAGGCTAAGGAGGGCCGGGAGGTCCTGTCGAGAACTTGGATTTCATTCTCTATGGAATAGGAAGCCACTGGAAGATTCTGACGTGATGAGAGATCAACACAGATATGAATAGAACCAGAAAGAATGCTAGAGACTTTTCAAGAGTTCAGGCAAGAGCTGATGGCATGGACTAAGGAGGGAAGAGCATGCGCCTGAAAGACTAAGCTGACAGGATCTGCTAGTAGGCTGGATGTGGGTTATGAGAAAAATATTGCCTAGGGTTATACTGTCAGTAGGGTGACTAATGTGGCATTTACTAAAATGGGGAAGCCTGGAGGAAGAGCAGATTTGAGGGGAAGAGCATCTGGACGTCCACGTAGAAACCTCAAGTCAGCTGGACATGAGTTTAGCCCAGAGAAGATGTCACGCATCTGCAAGTCATAACAAAGACAGGACTTAGCATGGAGATGGTGTATGGGAGCCACGAGGCTGAGATCATTTCAGGAGTCAGGATAAATAAGAAAAGGGCTGGGGAAAGCTGGGGGCCATCGTTTTATTAGTGGGGAGGGAAGCCTATAAGTAGGAGAAAAACCAGGAGAAACCAAGAAAGTTCTTTCTTTTTCCCACCTTGTGGTGGCAGGGTTTGGCAGTGCTGGGGATCATCCCAGGGCTTCTCACATGCTGGAAAAGTGCTCTACTACTGAGGTACACCTCTGGCCCCAAGGGAGTGTTTAAGGAAGGAGTGATCAAGTATGTTAATGCTGCTGAGAGGAGAGAAGCTAAGTACTGGTCACCTTGACAGGGGTGGCTTCAGTGCAGTGGAAGGTGACATGAGACTATCTGATGTCACTTGGAGAGAACAAGTAGTGAGGAAGTAAAGCCAGAGTCTAGGCAACTTTTCCATGAATTCTACCCTCAAATGAATCAGGGGAGCTGGAGGAATGGGCTTCAGGGGTCTCTGTTAGGCTCTGAGATACGACTATCCAGGAAAGAAGGGAACACTGAGGCATCAGAGGTCCTCGTGAAGAGCAGAAGCGAGGGATCCAAAGTGGAGCAGCTGCCCCTGCTTCCTGGCTAAAGCCAACTGTGAGCCGGTAGGTCTGAGGGTGGGAGAACAAGTGCTCTCTCCTGGCTGCTCTTATTTCTCAGTGATGTAAGTGAGTGCATTCCCTGAAGGTGGAGTGGGAAGAAGGGGTAAAATGTTCTCAGGGTGGAAGAGGGAAATGTCCAAGGAGATGCAGTAAGATGGCTGGAAGTGTGACAGCTCCCTCAAGATTTGTGGATGTGACCTGGGACGTGACTAGCACAGAGGCGGGCAGCAGCTCACCTGTGTCTGCAGTACTGCTTGCCAGCTGGCATTCCTGCTGCCAGTCCTTGGGCACAACGGACTCTGTGAGGTGAAGGAAGTCCTGCAGTGGGCAGCGTAGAGGGCAGCCAGGCAGGATCAGTGGCCAGGGGGCCTTCTTACTTTCATTCCGAAAGTACATCTCCACTGAGAAATTCCTGGGGGTTGACAGCAGGTGATGGGAACTACTCACCATGCCTGTAAATGAGTCCTTGGGCTGCCCCCAGCCATACCTGAGTGCCTCTTCAGAGGTCACACTGGTAGGTCGACTTACCCATTATCTTCCTGGTAGAGTTCAAATATGTGGCAGGAGGCGTAGGGGGCTTGTTCACCATTGTAGACATCCAGTGCCATTTGCAGAGCAACAAGGGTAGTGTCGTGCTGTAAGAGAGATGGCCTGTCCATCAGCACTGCTCCCCAACACCCCCAGGCACTGAATAGAGATGAAATCCAACCACTGGCTTGGTGTCAGCACGCTGGGGAGTTCAGCATCTTACCGCAGAGTACACCAGCAGCTTAGGGAGTTGGGAGGTAGTTGCCATTAGGGTCAGGTTCTTCCGTATCTGAGCCAGCAAGACTCCTGAAGAAGAAAAGTCCTCAGTGTCACTGGCTATAGCCATCATTATCATTGGATCAGACCCATTTGCTCCTCTCAAGCTCTGCTAGTCCTGGTTCTAATCACCAACCCAGGTTCACAAGGCCCATGTCAGAACTCTAAACCACTCCCTGCCCTCCAAAAACTTTCAAATTTACAGAGGGAAGCAAGATAAAACAAGGTATCTATATTTAAACACAGATGAAGAAAGCTGCCCCTTCATCAGTGAGCTATGAGGCCCTTCCCAGTTTGATTACTCCAGTGTGGAACAAAATGTAAACTTAAGACTGCTCCACAACACACAAGATGGTGGCTCCATGCCAGGGTGACTGCCATATGTAGGTTCTGAAAACTACTGAGGTGTCAGAAAGGCTCGACAGCTGGCACACTCTTGGGTGCTGTAGCATGGAAGCTGGCACACGTATTATTCTCAGTCTTCCCTCAAAATAGCCCTAGCAGTTCTCTGGGGAAGTATTCAGTCAGGGGAGGGAAGGTCTTCTGACATGGGTGAAATTTAGTAAGTATGGCAAAAAAGAAACATGTAAATCTGACTGGTCACAGGGCTAGGTGTCGAGAGAGCTGGATGACTAAAGGGGAAGACAAGGGGGAAACCTGGTTTTGAAAGAACAGAGAACATTTCATGAGCAGCCCCATAGCAGATTTTCAATGTGGAGGGGAGTGACATGCTGTCCTTGTCACTCACCCCCCTGAAGCCGGGCCTTCTCTGCCTGCTCATGGATCCCGAAGAGGAAGCGGAAGCTGAAGTCCTTTAGCTGGCTCAGACGCTGCATGGTTTGGGGTGAGGCCCAGGGTGGCAGGAGTAACCCATGGGTTTGCTGTGTATTGTATGGGGCAGGTTAACTCCCCAGGCCTAGGCCAGAGCTTCTCTGGGGGCAGCTCTCTTCCCCAGAGGGAAGGTGCCTGTGTGTGAGGGAAGGGGAGGAGAGCAGAGGTGAGGTGGAGGGGCTGGAATGGCAGGCCGTGTTGGGGCTGCAGGGCACAGGAGAGGAAGCTCAGGCACAAAGAGCAAGATTCAGCAGAAAGGCGCCTGATACCACAAGAGCCCTGGGTGGAGAGGAGTAGGAACTGCTGACCACTAGCAAACATTTCCCACTCTGAGACTTTTCACCCGTGGGGGAAGTTCCCGTGTTTCACAGGCAGCAGCTTGCTGGACCTCCCCAGTGGGCATGGCGGTATTCAAGCATTGTGTTCTACCATCCTGGTGACTTGGGCCTGCTGAGGGGGACAGAGAAGTAATCCCACTGGGCACCTCTGTGGGCTCACCTCACAGAAGAGTGTGTCATAGACATTCCAGACAGTCTCCAGAGTCAGGTCTGTAAGTCCTGTCTCATTGGCCACCATGTCCAGAAATTGCTATGAAAAATGAATTAGGGGATCAGTCCTGCCCTGGGGAAAGAGCAGTCTGATGACCTCCGGCTCAGCCCCCACTCACTGCATTCCGAATACTCTCATTCTGATACTCTGGTGTCTGCCGAGTCTCATTCTGCAGCTGCTCATAACGTGGACACGGGCCCAATGGAAACTTCAGCAGCTGCAGGCCAAAGGAAGGAAAGAGAGGCAGAGAAGTCTGAGACCAGCAATCCCATGGCCACAGTTGTCCCCCTTGCCCCTCCAGGGAAGGGTTGGCCAGTCTTACCTTGTCCTCAGTGATGGGCACAGTGTGAACAGGGATAGGCTGCCATGATATGTTAGGGTTGAAGCGCTGCATCCCATTGGGAGGGAAGAGTCCAGCCAGGTTGGCCTCAGCACTCATGAGAGTACGGTCAAAGTCCGTGCTTCGCACATACACCTGCAGAGATGGCAACATGAGTCTCACCTGTGTATACATGTAGGGGCACTCTGGCCCCTCATTGGGAACCCAAAGAGAGAACCTGTTCTTGATGGCCACCCAGAAATTATAAACCCACCATCATCCCCTTCTTTTGCCTTTCCCTCCCTCAAGGCCCCAAATATCAGCTGGGACTATCAGCACTGTGTGAAGAACTCAGACTGTGGGAATGGCTCTAGTGCAATTGTCCCTTCTCCTAGTCAAAAGTGCTTAGTCAGTAGTAGGCTGTCCCTGGTCTTTCTGAATACTCTCATTCTGACACTCTGGTGTCTGCTGAGTCTCGTTCTCTATAAACTGGCTCAGAGACTGGGGTGGGGAAAAATAAGGAACAGAGAGAGGGTTTGTGAAAATGGGGAAGAAACTGGGGAAAGGCAAGCTCAGGATAAAGCTGGGCCTCAGGGAACAAATAACAAGTATAGACTCTTGAGACAGCTGTGCTGAGAGTGGTAACCAGAGGAACAGCTATAGCTACCACCATCTCTCAAGTGGGGAAAGGAGCTTAGGAGCAGCATCTGTGCCACTCTTCCCTGTTCCCTTTATCTTGTCTTCCTGGTTTATCATCTGATACCCCCAGTATACTCTTAGCTTTGTGGAAACAGACATTCTATCTGTGTGGTGCACAACTGTATGCAAAACACTAGCACAGAAGGTACTCAATAAATGTTTTGGAGGGAAAGCCTGTTACTTCACAGCCAAAAACAACTTTTCCAGGCCCTTCCTTAAGTCTGAGTTGGGTGCTTGATCTGTCTTGCCTCTTCCCAACCAAGTAGGGGCAACTGAGCCTCCAGGAGTATGTTCTAGATGGTTCTTAGATGTCTCATGACCAAAAATGCAGGAGGAAGGCCAGAGTGTTCAGCCTAATCCTCAGCTTTCTGAAGGAAGAGAATGAGAATAGATCCCATTCCTCTTGTCACTTAAGTTCCCATGCTTACCTCCTGACGGTGATAAGAGGTGTTTAGAAAGCCATGGTAGCGCTGTCGCAGAGCCTGGCCCAGCTCCCAGTGCTGTAGCATCCCTTCCTGTGGGCAAGTCCAAGGGTTAAAAGGATTCAGAGGGAAGGAATGGTTTATAAACCCTATGGATTTTAGATGCTGTTGCTTTGTAAGTATACTTCTGGCTAGAAGTAGGAATGGGCTATTTTAATCCCAGGAGTCATTTATTAAGTGGCCAGCTATACGTGGCATTGTCCTAGGCACACAGTAATGTAAAGTTAAGAAACTCAGTCAGGGCTGGGGATGTGGCTCAGTAGTAGAGTGTGTACTTAGCACATGTGAGATCCTTTGTACTTAGCACATGTGAGACCCTGGGTTCAATCTCCAAGCATCACAAAAACAACAACAACAAAAATCTGGTCAGTCAATACCCATGTGGGAACTGGCAGTTTAGGAGGCCCCAAGTTCTGTAATCTGCTCCAGAGGTCACTCATTTGTTGCTGTTATTTCCAGTACTGGGGATTAAACCTAGGGGCACTCAAACACGGAGCTACATCCCTAGATCTTTTTAATTTATTTTAAAATTTTGAAACAGAGTCTCACTAAATTGCCCAAGCTGGCCTTGAATTTGCAATCATTTGCCTTCACCTCCCAAGTAACTGAGATTACAGAACTGTGACACCACCATGCCTGGCCAAAGGTTATTCATTCTACAGCTAATCCTGAGGGCCAGCTGGCTTCTGACCCACCTTGGTTAGTTGACCAAACCCCTGGGGCCATTCCTCTTCCTGATAGGGGTCCTTGGGATATGTCTTCACTGGTGAACGGTCTCCATGTCGGTAAAGCTGAGGAAACAAAATGATTTGCCTACAGGTCAGAAGGGTCTCCTTGATAGGAACACAGAGCACACCTCTGCCCCGTGTTCTCTCTGGGAAGCCTCACCACTACCCACTGCAAAAGACCAGAGTTCAGGAGGATGCTAACTTGACTAAGCAATGTAACTGGAGACCATGGGGAAGCCAAAGGCACAAGTGGGAAGAAAAAAAACAAAAACAAAACAGTGAGAATAATGCTTTCAGTGGGTAAAATTGAAGGGGAAAAAAATCACCAAAGTCGTCTTTATTGACGAGTCTCTTAACCTTTTAATCACATCCTTGTCCCAGAGAAGACTCATCCCATCTACCTGCTGATACAGAACTCCTTACCAGAACGCCCTGCCCCCCAGAATGACCCAGGGCTCCACATCAGTTCTGAACCCAGCCCCTCGAGCTCCCCAGGCCAGTGGTCTACTAAACCACATCTTCTCCTCTAGTCCTCGACCCCCATCACAAGCCCTGCCCCTCCCTCCCAGCAGGCCTTTGCCCTTCTAGCTCTAGCAAACCCTCTGGTGACACTGTCGCCCATTACCAAGGTAACGAAGCGCAGACTCCGGGCCTGGGTGAGTGGCATCACCATCAGGTTCATGCCAAGAAGGAGCTGGAGAAGAGCCGCCCAGCTCCAGCCGTGCAGTCTGCCGGCCATCATCGCTCTAGTGTGTGTGCGCGCAAAGAGGGCGGAACGCGCTGAGTGGCACCAGCTGCAGCCGCCCGGACACACACGAAAGGACACACGCCGGAAGTGCGCTCGCCGCCATCTTACTAAGGGGGGGAGCAGGGATGGTAGAATTTGGAAGGGAATACGTAGAGGAGTTTCGCGATCTGGCAGTGGCGGACACACGTAGGAATGTAGGGCGACATTGCGCGGCAAAAGGGCTTGAAGACCTAGTCTTGGTAAAGAGCACACGGGGTCAGGGCTGCCCCTTTCCGTACTAAGGTGGCACTTGCCCTGGGCGGGGCCGTGGCCTGGAGAGCGAGCGCCCCCTCAGGCTGGGGTGCAGCTGGTCCTGATCCCAGAGCCCGAGAGTGCTGAATTGGAGCGAAGGGTAGGGAAATATGGGGCGTCCCTCACCACGCCCCTGGCCTTCGGGTGGAGTTTGAGCCTTGGCTCGGTCCGCATTTCCCGGGAGAGCTGCAGGGCAAAACGTGTAAACAGCCCTTTGGACTCCCTGTGCCCTTGAGGTTGGTCCCAGTGTAGTCTACTGTTCATGCCTGCCCGGAGCAAAGCTTCAGAAGCCCTCTCACTTGCTTTTTCCAGTGCTTTCCCTGTCTTTCCTCTAGTTTACTTACAAGTTTCAGTTTAGAGTCAAGACGTCATACTTCTTCCCAAAGGAGTTGGGTTGCACGGGATGTTCAGACTTTCCAAACCCAAACCAATGAATCCATAAAGGAGAATTTCAGACCTTTGGAGAGAGATTTTTGGGACAGGCACATAATATAGAGTAAAAGTAGGTGGGGTTTCTGCAGAATCAGAGACCCTCTTGGCTTTGTCTCTTAGGATTCAGGTGCCGCCACTTTGGCCTTAGGACTTTGTTGTGACTCTGAGCTTGGAGTGACACAGTTTTTGAGGGATAGATCATAGACCCTTGGGATGCTTTGATTCAGATCTGCCCACTAGACGCAACTTCACCTCATCATTGACAAAACTGATCAGAACTGTTATTATCTTGCTCTAAGACCCCAGATTCGAAACACACACACACACACACACACACACACACACACACACTGATCTAAACTTTACTTCAAGAAATGTCATGAAGGAGGCTGAGGAGTAAATAGAATAAGAAGGTTAGGTAGGCAAATAGCTCTTAACCTTTTCAGTCACAAGCCCCTTTATGAATTGGATGAAAATTTAGCCCTCTGCCTTCCATAAAAATGTTCACACATATAAATATACATTAGAATTTTGCTTATGATCTCAAGAGTTTCACAAATACACTTCATAGCTTTATAAACCAGCATCTCTGAATCCCTGATCTAACCTAGTCCTCTTATTTTACAGATTAGGAAAAAACTAGAGAGGCAAGTGACATGGTTCAGAAAGTTTACATGGTTCAGAAGCATGGATTCAAATTCAATTTTCTCTTCCCAACTAAATAGTCTTTGTAATGGACTGTTTCTTACAGGCTACAAACTGCATGCAGGCTACTCAAAATGCTTTGCTAAAGTATATTTGGTAGCTCCAGAGTACCTTTAATAAAGAGATTTCTATTAAAAGAAACTTTTTCTCCTTAGTGGAATTAAGTGGGTCATGACTAACTGGCAAAATACTGCATAAATATTAGGCTTTTTAAATTTTTTTAAAAATTTATTTGCTTTATTTTATCTATTGCAGTACTGGAGATTGAACCCAAGGGTACACTACCAGCCCCTTTTATTTCTTTTTTATTTTGTTTAATTTTTTTCAGCACAGGGAATTGAACCCAGAGGACTTCTACCACTGAGCTTCACCCCAGCCCTTTTTAAATTTTGAGGCAGGTTCTCATAAAGTTGCCCAGGTGTCCTCAAATTTTCAATCCTCTTGCCTCAGTCTTCCAAATAACTGATTACAACTGTGTGCCACTGCATCCAGCTAGATCTGCAGATCACCAAAATTTAGCAAGTAGAACAAAAGAATTGCCGAAATCCATCTTTTGCTTTTCCTCCCACTTGCTAAATGTCTATATCCTTGGTGCTTACAAGTGTCCCATGTAGGAGGGATTGATGAAGCAGATGTTATTTTAATTTTTATAGTGAGAAATGATTCCAGGAAGGGTGGAGAGTAGAAGGAGATGGTAGAACCTAGAGCAGAGCCTTGATTTCCTGATTCCCCAGCTTTTGCATATTTTTTACCAGATGATTCTTTGTTCTTCACACCTTGGTTCCTAACTACAGATTAAAAAGAGAGAGAGAGAGAGAGACATGTATATGAATAGATAGATGGATACATGGGCATACCCTAGACTAAAATCATGCTCTGAAGCATGATAAGACCAGGTTTGGAAATCATTGTTCTACTCTGGTTGGCAGAAGCAAACCTAAATCCGGGTGAGTTAACTATTTTTTTTTTTTCCATCTGGAGAGGCTGCTTTGTGTAATGGAGTAAAGTGGGGGGTTTGGTTTTGTTTTTTTTATCATCATCATCATCTTGTGGTACTGGGGATTTCACCAGGGATGCTCTACCAATGAGCTACATCCCCAGCCCTTTTATTTTTTATCTTGGGTTAGTCTAGCTAAGTAGTTGAGGTTGGCCTTGAACTTTTGATCCCCTTGCCTCAGTCCCCCAAATTCCCAGGAATGCAGGGGTGCACCACTGTGCCCAGCTATGTTTTTGTTTTAATTTGAATGTGAGCTTGAGCTTTTGGATCAGCTTTACCTGTATTCAAATTTGGTGCTCTGTACTTTACTGGTAACTGTCTTTTTATATTTATTGTGAGAATAAATGAAACATTGCATGTAAAGGTAAATTGTGTACATGAGACTAAGTAAATGTTATTGTTCTTCTTCATTTTCTGCCCTCTGTGTCATCTCTAAAATTTATAGGTCTTAGAATTTATTCCTGACTTCTTCTATCTTGTCATTGGGATGTTGGGCAGAAGTCACTTGAGTAGATACTTGGTGGTCTGAAAGATATCCCCACCCTTTCTACCCTTCCAGAACAGTGAAGGAAGGAGCAAGAAGCAGTTGCCCCAGTCCCTTCTACAAACCCAATCTTGTGGCCTACTCCATGGGAATGAGTGCCTTTGGGGTAATTATCCAGTAGTGCATGTGACCAGGGACTGGAGAATGCTCCTATTTCTGCTTCTATGTTCCCTTTGCTGCTGGAAGAAGCCTCTGGGGGTTTGGGGGGTCAGAAATGTGACTTAGGAGGTTCCCAAGTATGTTCCTAGGAATTCTGCCTCCTGCAGGAGCCAAGGAGACAGGAAGGGACTCTAGGCCTGGGGTGCTTGGACCTAAGCCTGTGGGCTGAAGGGACTGTGTCATGAAGAGGGGCTGGCAAAGCAGAACATGGGATTCTAGCTGTGGATCACCTGACTGCTTGCTCTGGCTTGGGGCTGAAGTCCCAGGGGCTGGTCTCCAGAAGATAGCATCCTGTGGAAAGAGTGCCAACAGGTTTTGGTCTTCTCCCATTTCCTTTCCCTTCCCCTCGTTGTTAGGAACTCCTTAATCCCTTGTAACCTGAAGGGATAGCTCTGGCAGTGAAGTGCTAGCAAATGCTTTCTCCCCTAGAGGAGACCAGGCTGAGCTGACTCCCTGCCTTGGGGGAGAGGTTGCTGTGATCTACTGGCTCTACTTTGGGCAAGAGGCCTCTAGCTGGGGCTTGTGTATGCTCTGGGTCCTGGGAAGCCACCTGTAGGGACACTAGAGTGTCAGTAGAAGTTGAGGATCAGGAATGGATGAAGGAGGCTTTTCTTAATTCCTGGAAAATGTGTCACCAGGCTCCAGACCATGTTATATCCCCAGTTCCTTGAAACCAGGTGTCTCCAGGACAGCTCTGACCATGCTGCTACACTGGAGCTTGGCAGGGAGGATCTGGATGGGTAATGGGACAGAACAGCTCCAGTGCCCCAGCGGCTGGTGTCCCTGGTTTCTACTGTCCCAGGACAGCAGGGGGCTTTGTGAAAATCAGAGCAGGAACACATGAGAGGAACAGAGAGCCTTGTGCTCATGACTCAGAAATGCCCAGAGCAGGGTGGGGGCCTTGTGAGGGGATAACCTTGTGATGAGAAGGAACAAGAGCAAAAGCTGGAGGCAGAAGTTTGAGATGGGGGCCGTCAGAGGGGCTTTTCTGAAATGTGAAAATGAATACACGGGCAGATTTTGCAACACCCCCAACCCCGCCTGCTATCTTCTCACATGTGTCCCTGCCCCCGCCTGTTCCCCTGCCCCACCCTGTGCTTCCTCCCATCTTTCACCAAACCCCCTTTCTTGTTCAGCTTTCCCATCCTTCTCCCTTCCTGTTCCTACTGTCCTCCCCCACCCCCTGTGTCCACTCTTTCCCTATTCCTCTGTTCTCCTCTTCCCTGGTGCCCTGTTCATGTCTGCTTCAGTCCCTCTGGCAGCTTGCCCTGGCCCCTGTCCTCTGCTTTAATGTAGGCCCATGGGAACTGAAGTTCACAGCAAAACAGGAAGAGCCTTGAGCAGGAAACTGGGAATGGGTCAGGGGGTGAACAACCAAGAGTAACCTCAGCTCCTGCCTCGCACATCGGAGCTAAAGCATCTGCAGTGCTCTGGGCCTCTCCCTGCAGCCCACCAGCCCTGGCTCCTTCCCTCTCACTTTACTAGCTCATCAGACCTGAGAGGCAACAGGACAAGAACGTCCTGCACTCTGATGCCAAGAGAAAAAGAGCACAGGGACTGGAGTGGGAACATCTGGATTCTGATCCCAGATCAGCCGCTGTGTGTGGTCTTGCGAGGCCCTCATGTGAGCTTCAGTGTTCCCTGTAAAATGGAGTTGATTTACCCTCCCTCCCTCCTGGCAGTGCTCTAAGGACTGAACAAGATGGTGAGGGACTTGTATATAGAAACAAGGACTTGGAGAGTGATGTATAGCTTCATGTGGACAGGAAGACCTATATTTGAAAGGATTGGAGTGGTAAGAATAAACACTGCCAGTTCTTGAACACTTAGTATTTGCTCTGATACTATCTGCTTGAACACGTACATTGTGCTATGATGTGTTTAATTCTCACAACCACCTTACATGGCAAAACTGTTATCTCCATTCTATTTATTTTTTTTTAATTTTAATATTTATTTATTCTTTTTTAGTTTTCGGCAGACACAGCATCTTTCTTTGTATGTGGTGCTGAGGATTGAACCGGGGCCACATGCATGCCAGGCGAGCACACTACCGCTTGAGCCACATCCCCAGCCCTCCATTCTAAAGACACAAAGAGGTTCACAGACATAAGTAACTTGCTTGATCAAGATCACACATCTGTGCTGGGGGTGTAGGTCAGTGGTAGAGAGTTTGCCTAACATGGGATACATGGAGTTGGATCCCCAGCACCTGGTGGGGGGAATCACAGCTAAAGGGAGGCAGGATGAGGATTTGAACCCAGACTCATCCCAGACCCCAAATGCCTAGTTGAAATTGAGCCAAAAAGTATGGGATAAGGAAGATCATATTTTTCTTCTTATCCATTTATCAAACAAGAACACAGTACCTACTCTGTTGTCTCCTCTATGCCAGCTCCTGTTTCAGGGATTATGGGAGAGAGAGAATCAGTGAAACACGGTGTCTTCCTTCAGGGGTGGATCTGTGTCCCCGGCAGGAAAGCTATGCTGTGAGGCTCAGTGGAGCCTGCCACCACCTCAATGGGACCATCCCCAGGATGAGGCAACTTCATGCCTTCCTGGGTCCAACCTAGGCTCCCTGTGTTGCTGTCATCTGCTACCCCTACCACTATCCCAGGTCTGCGGTTGTTCAGGGCTGACTTCCTACCAGCCCCTCTCTCCTGGCTTTCTCCCCTCTGTCCCCCCACCCCGTCCCCGAAGGGCACCCACAGACAGATTCCCTGGAAGGCCCAGCACCTGCGTCTCTCCACCCTTGGAGTTCTACTAGCTTGGCTCTGTCCTGGAGCTAGTGGGGAGAGCTTGGCCCCTTCCCAGAGGCAGGGGAGGAGGAGGGAGGCTGCGATCGCAGGCTGGGGCTGGGTGTCGCAATTCTGGGCCGAGCCGAGACCTTTGCTCCGCGAGGTGTCTATGGAGGGGAGGGAACGCTGACTCTGGAGGCTGCCGGGATCGGGGTGGGGGTGCCTGGGAAGCAGTCCTTCAGTAAGAGCAAAGAGCCTCCAGGGTGGACAGAGGAAGGGGAGAGACATGGAACCGGGCCGGTCTGTGGGGAAATGCGACTGTCTCGGTTGAGGGTAGGGGCCGGGTGGGGTGGCGCCGGCCGAGGGGGTGGCTGGCCGGGGAGGAGTCGGCCTGTGGGGAAGCTACCCCGTGGGCGGGGGCGAGGAGGCCAGGCTCCGTTTGGTCGGCGGGAGGAGAGGTGGCCCGACCCTTGTCAGTTCCTCCCCCAGTCTTTCCCCACAGTACTACTTCCCCGGGGCTCCGGGTCCCTCTGCTCAGCTCCAGTCGCCGGCTGGCCGCGCGGCCTCGGGACAGGGGACTGCACCATCCTCCTCTCCCAGCAAGGGGGCTCCAGAGACTGCAGCCAGGAAGTCTGGTGGCCTGGGGATTCGGTGGGTCTTCTCAGCAGTGGCCTGGGGCTGCATGCGTGTCTGGGGTCGGGTGGGAGGTTGTTCTAAGGACCTTAAAAAGGGTCTCTTGGGGAAAGTGCCGGGTGAAGGTGATGGGCGCTTGGGGCAGGGACAGGGTTCTGTTAGGTGGCAGGACTCCTGAGGGGAGCTGGGGAGGAGGAGGAGGTCATGGTGTGAGTTAGGGAAACTCTTGGAGCAGAGGAGCCTTGCTCTAGATCCCAGAAAGCAGTGGGAGTGAGATTTTCTGACAAGGTGCTTGTCTTCAGGGAGTGAGCCTTGATCCCATCTCTTAGCGCTACCTAACTTTGGCTCTCCTAAAACTGGAGTGAGGGGGCAAGGGCTCTGACAGACATTCCCTGATGGCCCAAAGGAGAACTAGGGAGAGAAAGGTGGCATGGTGGTCAAGAGCTTAGACTTTGGAGTCAGATTGGGCTACTGTTTTGGCTCTACCACCATCTAAAAGTGTGACTGTAGGCAATTAATCTTTTTGAACCTCAGTTTCTGCATCTGCAAAATGGGTTTTAAAAAGTCCTGTAGGTCAGGGGGTAGCTCAGTGGCAGAGCACTTGCTTGGCAGGTATGAGACCCTGGGTTTGATTCCTAGTACTGAAAAAAGAATATAACCCTGGTCGTTCCTGCAGGACAGTGTCTTGGTAATGTCCAGGGCTCCAGGAAGAGATGTCCTTGTGGCTGGAGGCACCTGTGCCTGATGTTTCTCCTGGTAAGCTTCTTTACTCCAGTCCTCTCACCTGAGCCAGAACTCCTCTGGTGGCTTCTCTCCTCTTTCAGGAATCAGCCTCCTTCGCTACCTGCATTCTGCCCTCCTGCAGAGAGCAGTCCAGAGCTGTTCTTGGTATTGCTTGCCTCTTCTCCAGACCACCTCTGCCCTGATTCTGGTACCTGGCCCTCTGGCCCTTGTAAACTCCTGCCCAGTGCTCCTCAATCTGGGCTTGCTGCTGCGGGGAGTTGGCATTCTGTTGCTTGCCCAGCTTTGGCTGTGGAGAGTTCTGTCTGATCTCTGAAATGGGTGTCCCAAAGATTAGCATCTTTGTTTAAGGTCTTGATGTGCAATGGATTACAATTGACTGGTTCTGGAGTCACAGAGCATGAGCTGGGGTGTGGTTGCCCTCCGAGGGTGAAGATAGGTTTGCAGTTTCCCAGCTAGGACGCTAGGGAGTGGAGCTGGGATGGGACACGGGACCCCTCTGTACCTCTCCTTTTGGTTCAGATTCTGCCGTGGAGCTGTGGGATCCAGATATCCAAGATGCAAGCAGCCAGGCTCGGGGAGGCCACAGCTACGTCCTTAGGGAGGAAGCCAGGGTGCCCCAATCTGCTGAGGGGATGGGGCTGGAGTCAGCAGAACCCACAGCCCTATTCCCCAGGGCAGAGTCCCTTCCAGAGACCACAGGTGAGGAGCTTCTGTGTTTTGGGGAGGTGCAGGCTCCCTGGATATGGGAGGGACACCTTGGGGCCCTTTTCTTTATAATACTATGGTTAAAGACTTTGCATCAACTAGATCCAAGTGATCTAAGTATGAATTTTGTTTCTACCTTAGGCCTTTCTGAATTTCATTTTCATTATTTGTAAAGTGAGATTAATAATTATGGTTATCTAAAGGATCAATACCTATAAAGGGCTCATACAGTACCTAGGACATAATGGCCCTGGCAAATGAGATCTCCTGTGATAAATAGTCTAAGTTACTCCTTCTGGGGGCACCTGTAGTCGCAGCTACTTGGAGGCTGAGGCAGGAGGATCTCTGGAGCCCAGGAGTTGGAGGCAGTGGGGGAAACAGTGAAATCCTGTCTCCAAAAAGAGAGACTAGACTTCATATAATGAAAGGAATGAAGGTCACTGAGTGCCCAGTGACTGAGTCAGGAAGAATATTAAGGCTCTTCCTTGTATCCAGAGCTCCGTCCACAAAAGCGGAAAAAGGGGCCAGCCCCCAAAATGCTGGGGAACGAGCTGTGCAGTGTATGTGGGGACAAGGCCTCTGGCTTCCACTACAACGTGCTGAGCTGCGAGGGTTGCAAGGGATTCTTCCGCCGCAGTGTCATCAAAGGAGCTCGCTATGTCTGCCACAGTGGTGGCCACTGCCCCATGGATACCTACATGCGTCGCAAGTGCCAGGAGTGTCGGCTTCGCAAATGCCGCCAGGCGGGCATGCGGGAGGAGTGTGAGTGTGGTGGGGGGGCAGGCTGGGGAGACACTGATGGAAAGAGGGCACCCTGGTGTGAGGGCAGGAAGATGCCCATGCCTACAGGGGCTTCCTACCCGGTCCATGAGGATAGATTCAAATCTCTTCCTGGCTTTTACCCAATGCTGTCTGCTTTTCTGGAGACTCAAACCACCCCCTCTGCCCCATCCTTGCTTCCTGTAGCCCCACTTCTCCCCTCCTCACATCTGGCCCTGTCCTTAGGTGTCCTTTCAGAAGAACAGATCCGCCTGAAGAAACTGAAACGGCAAGAAGAGGAACAGGCTCAGGCCACATCAGTGCCCCCGAGGGCCCCCTCACCTCCCCAAGTGCTCCCCCAGCTCAGTCCAGAGCAACTGGGCATGATTGAGAAGCTGGTCGCTGCCCAGCAACAGTGTAACAGGCGTTCTTTTTCAGACCGACTTCGTGTGACGGTAAGATACTTGATGGGCCTGGGGAGAGGTGGCCAGGGCACCAGCTGGCTTCTGGATGTCTGAATCAAAGTGCTTTGCCTTTTCTCTCCTTGCCCCCCTGGGTAGCCTTGGCCCATGGCCCCGGACCCCCAGAGCCGGGAGGCCCGTCAGCAGCGCTTTGCCCACTTTACTGAGCTGGCCATCGTGTCTGTGCAAGAGATCGTCGACTTTGCTAAACAGCTCCCAGGCTTCCTACAGCTCAGCAGAGAGGACCAGATAGCCCTGCTGAAGACTTCTGCAATTGAGGTGGCTGGACAGGTCAAGGGATGGAGGGAGAAGCAGTGTGGCATTGTCTGTGGGGGGGCATGCAGGCATCTGGCAGGGAGAGCCCAATCCACTGGGAAGTAGGGAGAAGGAGACTCAACTGTCCCTCAAAGGCCTGTGTCCCAAGATCAGCCCTCATTTTCTCTGGTGGGGCTGCTACTTGTGTGCAGGTGATGCTTCTGGAGACTTCTCGGCGATACAACCCTGGGAGCGAGAGCATCACCTTCCTCAAGGATTTCAGTTATAACCGGGAAGATTTTGCCAAAGCAGGTGAGAGCTGAGATCACAGAGGGACTGAGCTGGATGGACAGGTGTTGTTTGTCACGGAGCCCATTGTGATTTCAGAGCCTGGGCTGAGGTTTGGGTGGTTGTGAAGGGAAGGCCAATGGTTTGTCCAAGAGAGAAAAGTTAGAATGTTGAAAGGCCTCTTTCAACTGCTCCAAATAGACCTCTGTCCTCGGCTGCATTAGGTCTGTTGTTTTGGAACTGTATTTCAATTAGCCTTAGGGGTTCTGGAAGTCACCTTAGAGAAGATACAGGGAGGCAGAAGAATGTCCTTCATCTTTGCTTTAACCAAATAAGAAGGTCTATTTAAATCTACACTGGATATTATAGTTCTGCATAACATTTTCCTTGAAGAAAAGACTTTATAGCTAGAAAAAAAAGTTTGAAAACCACTGAACCAAGCCTTTTATTTTATTTTATTTTTTTGGGGTACCAGGGATTGAATCCAAAGGCATTTATCAACAGAGCCACATCCCATTCCTTTTTTTTTTTTTTAATGTTTTATTTTGAGACAAGGTTTTGCTAACTTGCTTTAGGGTCTCCCTAAGTTGCTGATCTGGCTTTGAACTCATGATCTTCCTGCCTCAGTGTCCTGAGCTGCTAGGATTACAGGAGTGTGCCACCATGCCCCGCTGAACCAAGCCTTTTAGTAGTCAAAAATGAACAGATCTTTTCAGATGTGCTCTTTAAGGATCATGTGGGCTGACTGTCCCCAACTTTTTTGTTTTTTGGTACTTGGGATCAATCCAGGACCCTCACACATGCTAGGCAAGCGTTATGGCTGGGCTCTCTCCCCTGTTCTTTTCCAATTGCTCTTTCTGCTGACCCTCGGAACTGGAGCTGAAACATGACAAAGATACCCAGATGGCACAGTTGTAGGACAAAGGCAAACAATTCTATCCTCATCTTGTATCTGGAGTGTTTTCTCTAAGAATTGATTTACATTGTTACGTTTGGTGGCGCCCACCTGTAATCCCAGTGACTTGGGAGGCTGAGGCAGGAGGATCACTAGGTTCGAGACCAGTCTCAGCAACTTAGCAAGACCCAGTCTCAAAACTTAAAAAACAATTAAAAAGTTAGGGATTTGGGGGCTGGGGTTGTGGCTCAGTGGTATAGTGCTCACCTAGCATGCATGAGGCACTGGGTTCGATCCTCAGCACAACATAAAAATAAAATAAAGATGTTGTGTCCACCTAAAACTAAAAAAATTTTTAAAAAGGGAGGGGATGGGGCTGTAGCTCAGAGGCGAGTACTTGCCTAGCATGTATGAGGCACTGGGTTCGATCCTCAGCACCACATAAAAAAAATCAACAAATAAAATAAAGGCATTCTATCCATCTACAGCTACAAAAAAAAAAAAAAAAGTTTGGGGATTTGGTTTAGTGGTAAAGTGTCCCTGGGTTCAATCCACTTTATTGCAGGAAAAAGAAAAAAAAAAATTAGTTCTCATTGCTGCTTTCTGTCTGATGCTGGCTTAGTGTTAAGCAGGGGTTTTCTTCATTTTTAGCTACTGGTAATGTTTGTGTGGGGAAGCAGGGTTGGGAAAAGATGGAAGACCACCGAGGAAATGTTGGAGGAACTGGAATTGGGGCTCAGTAGGAGACCAAGTAGCTTAACAACAAAGAGCAGGTCTGTAACATATGGCTGATGCTATGACTCCATTCTCAGGGCTGGGAGATCCTGGTTTCTAGGCCAAAATTCATAAGTCCTTCCCTAGTTTCTGGTGACTCAGGACACCTCATGTGTCTCTTATCTCAACATGGGCCACCCAGTGAACTTTCTAGGAAGGCCTCCCTTAACTGTAGGGCAGGGCTGGGCTGTGTTGGCCCCTATTGCCTTCTGTATATCACTGGAATATACAGGCACCTGATTGGGGTGATTAGAGGTCTTAATCTAGCTGTAAAGCCTGTTTTCTCTACCAGGCCATCTTTTTCTCCAAATTGTTTTTATCCCAGACCTCTTAGTCTTCTCCTTTAGAACACCCTCCTTCCTGAACCCTTTCCAGTTTTAATATCTCTGTGTCCCTTCAGCCCTGTGACTTGAGCTATCTGAATCTGTACCTATTTATAGATTTCTTTATATAAGCCATTCTGATGTCATCAAGTTGGCTTTTAATTTCTCATTTCATCAGAAGTGAGCTTTTAGAAGGAACTAGGGGTTCTTTTTTTTATTTTTTTTTTATTTTTTGTTGTTTTTTTTTTTTTTCTTTGTTACTTGTTGTTTTCTTCCTTCAGGGCCTCTATTATGTTAGGTCTCCTTCCTCCTCTGCATCTCCAACCATATGCTGCCCATGATAGTAAACTAAGGATGTGGACTGATCCTATGTGAGCTGTTCATCTAGTTTAGAGGGGCTTTGGGACACACTTGGGGGCTTAAAACCTCACCAAGAAATGCTTTATAAAATAGGGTTTGCCCATTAAATGGATCAACACAGCATTTGATAAACATCAGGGTGAAAGTACAGGAAGTGACTAATCAAGAAGCCTCCCAATGGAAAAGTGTAGCAGATGGTTGCTAAAAGAAATCTGAGAAAGCCTAGAGAACAGTGTGGGTGCAAAGACTTTGAAAATGTGTGTGGGAGAAGTGTCCACTAGGTGTAGTGGCTTTAGGTCACAGTTTGTCATGTTTTAGTTTTTTTCTCTTTAAGAAGACTGGTTCCATTAAGATAAAAAATGTTAAAAATTCCAACTAACATTTACATGGTAGATACATCTATGTCACATATATTCTAAGGACTTTATGAAGCAGGTAATATTATCATCTATATTACAGATAGGAAAACCAAGGCCCAGAGAGACATAATAACTTACCCAAGGAATTGGGGTTGTGGCTCAGTTGTAGAGTGCTTGCCTAGCATCTGTGAGGCCCTGGGTTTGATCCTCAGCACCACATAAAAATAAATAAATAAATAAAGGTATTGTGTCCATCTACAACTAAAAAAAATAAAAAAACAAAACAAAACAAAAAAACCCCAAAAAACAAACAAACAAAAAATTTATTCAAGATCACACAACCTAGTAATGGTAAAGCTAGGACTCAAATCCTGGCAATCTGGCACCAAAGTCCACACCCTTAACCACACTGCTGTGTTCCCTCTGGGATGTGCTATATGAAATGTATGCCTCGGGCTGGGGCTATAGCTCAGTGGTAGAGCACCTGCCTTGCATGTGTGATCCCTCAGCACCACATAAAAATAAATAAAGATATTGTGTCCATCTACAACTAAAATAATATATATATGTATATATGTATGTATATATATGTATATATATGTATGTATATATATATACATATATATATAAATGTATGCCTCTTATTCAGATAAGATCATTTGTCAGCAAAAAATCTTTTTCCCCGCTGTGGGTACTAGGGATTGAACCCAGGGGCACTTTACCCCAAGTTACACCTCCAGCCTGCTTTTCTTTTCTTTTAAGACAGGATCTTGCTAAATCTCCTTTGAAATCTCCTGCCTTGACCTGTTGAGTTGCTGTACTCAGAAAGATCATAAATTCTTTTTTTTTTCTTCCTTCCTTTTTTTTTTTTTTTTTTGTGGTACTGAGGTTTGAACCCAGGGATGCTCTACCACTTAGCCACATCCCCACCAAGGTCTTGCTAAGTTGCTGAGGCTAGCTTCCAGCTTGCAATCCTGCCTCAGCCTCCTGAATTGCTGGGATATAGGGAGGCACTACCTCGCTTGGCTTGTTATTAGAATTTTTGAGAGCCCTGTGTATCTAGAAATAGAAGCATCTCTTCCTTTGGTTAAAAAGGAAGATAAAAATATCTTTTCAAGCCATGTGTAGTAGCACAGACCTGTAATACCAGCAACTTGGGAGGCTGAAACAGGAGGATCACAGGTTTGAGGCCAGCCTCTGTACTTTAGCAAGAACTTTTCTCAAAAATTATTAAGGACTGGAGATGTAGCTCAGTGGTAGGACACTCCTGATCTAGTACTAGGGTACTGCAAAAAAAAAAAATTAATAGCAGATTGTTATTAATTCAAAACCTCCTATCTGCCGTGCTAAGTGCATCATGCTTTCACATTTAACCATCACAACCTCATAGATTCAGCTATGGACTCCCATTTCACAGAGGAGACTTAGGTTAAGAAATTTGCCTTACACAGCAGAACCCTGGAGACATTTTAGTGAGTTCCTGGTTGTTCCAAGATAAGGCACTGGAGGAAAGAAGGAAGTTCCTGCTGCTCCTGCCACACACTTTAGCCTCCCTTCTTCCTCCCCAGGGCTGCAGGTGGAGTTCATCAACCCCATCTTTGAGTTCTCCAGAGCCATGAACGAGCTACAACTCAATGATGCTGAGTTTGCTTTGCTCATTGCCATCAGCATATTCTCTGCAGGTGTGTGGAGGGGCAGGTGGGAAACCCAGTAAGACTTGCACCCCAGAGGACTGCAGGACCTACAGGGCAGGATTGTGCGGGTGGAGCCCTTTGCTGTGATTTTGGGATGGGTGAGGTTGTGGGACACATCCCTATTTTGGGGCAGTGATCTGGGGTAGGGGACTGAGGCCCTGGCCAGACCTGCTCCTAAACTCTGTTGGTGACCTATAGACCGGCCCAATGTGCAGGACCAGCTCCAAGTAGAGAGGCTGCAACACACATATGTGGAGGCCCTGCATGCTTACGTCTCCATCCACCACCCCCATGTGAGTCTCCCCAGGTGCCTTTTTCCTCTGCTCCATGCCTGTTCCCTGACACATCTATTTTCCCCTCAAGAATCCCTCTGCCTACATCTAGCACGGACAGTTCTCTACCTCTTCCACAACTCCCTTGCTTTTGTCCCTTTTCCTGGGGAGAAACAAAGGCTTAGCTTGTCCCTCTCCTTCCCCCAGGACCGACTAATGTTCCCACGTATGTTAATGAAACTGGTGAGCCTCCGAACCCTGAGCAGTGTCCACTCAGAGCAAGTGTTTGCGCTGCGCCTGCAGGACAAAAAGCTTCCACCACTGCTCTCTGAGATCTGGGATGTGCATGAATGACTGTTCTTCCCCATGTCTCCTGAGTTCTGGGCAGCACAGCTGAGGCCCCTTGGCTGCCTCCTGGAAGTGGAACAGATTGAGAAGGGCAAACATTCCTGGGAGTTGGGCGAAGGATATCCTCATGTAGCATTAAAGGAGAGTCAAAGGGTTGGGAGTTTTGTGGCTGCTGGGCAGTGGGGGGGGCCTGCTAAAGCTGTGCTCCATCTGAAGACCTACTGACCCAACCAAATGGATGAACCTGGGGCCACTTTGCACAGAGTTCTCCAGGGCCCTGCCTCCACCACTTCCTGTTTTTCCCCACAGGGCCCCAAAAGAAATTCTCCAATGTCACTCTGTGGCTTGGCCATAAATACCTCAGGGTGGCCTCGCTGATAGGTCCCACCCTGTTTGTTGGAGGGAGATCAAGAAGCTACAGAGCAAGAGAAAACAATTTCTGAATTGGGCTTACAGCAGTGGAGGAGAAAGCCTGCATCCTTTAGGATCAACCTCCAGACTTAGAGGAGGGAGGCATGTCACAAGTAACAATCTTGGCAGTGAGGGGGACCTTCTTTTACTAGCCCCAATTATGCCATATGGGTGAATGAAATGCTGAGGCTTAGATACCCTCTCCCCAATAATAGTAATGCAGGTGGGAGCGAGTGGTCTTTCTGTGGGGGTAAGAGGAGCTGTATTTAACAGCCAATTACCTTTCACGCGTAAGTGTCTAAAGCCTTAGTTTTTCCCTTGGCATCTGATAAAAAGGACGCAACCTGAAAGACCCAGGGCCAGGTATCCCCTCCTTTCAGCCCCCAGGGATCTGTGGGACGGGAAGAAAATTCCCTTGGGGCCTGGAGAGGCTGCCTAGGGTTGTGTTTGAGCGTTCAAAAGGACCGGACTCCATTTCCCAGCGGGCACCGCGGCACCGTTCTGCCCCTTCCGTGCGTGCCTGGTGTAGGTGATACCGCGGCCGCGCCTTCCAGCCTCAAGTCCCCCCGCCACCCGGGATTGGTAGACTCCACCGGCTGGGTAGCCAGCTTTCCAGCTCCGGCGGCTGGACCCTTCCAAAACGCGAGTGGGGGTAGCAAGGTGAGGTGCGGGGAGACGGTCAGGAAGTCTCAGGAGCAGTTTATCTTGAGAAGTCACTTTCAGGTCAATGAACATTTCCTTGAAATGGGCTCTATGATAATGCCTAATTAAAATCTATTTGAGCAACCTAAACAAAAGGTATTCCTTTGGATCCTCCCCTTAGCACGCAGCGGCGCTGGGCTGGCCCAGCGCTTCCCATCCCTTCCCACTCGCACACGGATAGGTGTGTGCGCAGCCTCCTTTCTTCCGAAGTCGGCTCCACCTTTCAGCGGTCGGCTTGGTGCAGCCCTGCCCCCGGGGCGAATGGTACAGCCCCAGCCCCCCTCAGCTTCCCCCTTCCGCACCGGCTCCGAGTGGTACGCGCCCCCCGGTGCGGACGCGGAACTGGAGCCCGCTCGCAGCGGCGCCTCGCGAGGTAGCGACTGACGCTCGGCTGCTGGGGGACGTCCAGCCGGCCTGGCAGGTCCCCCGAGGTTCGAGAGGTAGGACAGTCCGGGCCACTGGGGGTCCTGGACAGGCATCTGGGGACTCCTGGGGGAAGCGGGCTCTGAGAGGGACGGGCTCCGTGAAGAAAGGGTCTCTGAGGAAGGACTGAAGGAAGGTAAAGGGTCATGGATGTCCAGAGGGACTGGGGAGTCTTAGGAGGAAGGGCAGCGGCCAGAGGTGTGGGCGCTCCGGCCGCCGAGGGGGTGCGGGCTCCGGGATGAGAGCAGCTCCGCTCGGTTCCTGCCTTGCGGGCGGCGCTGGTTGCGGGGCGGGGGTGGGGAACTGTCCAGCAGGTGAGGGGGCGGGCAGAAGTGTCCAGCCCGGGTCCCAGCCGGCACTCGCGCCTGGCATGAGTGTGCTTGTGCGCGTGTGTGAGTGCGTGTGCCTTATTTCTGGTGAGGATTTGGAGAGCCACATTTGTTTCTTTAAAATAAATACATTCTCAAATATATATGTGTATATTTTGAACTTGATGCTTCAAAATTGACTTGCTGAAGAGTAGGGAGAGTGGAAGCACCATTTAATCTCTCCTGCAACTGCTCCCCCTTTCCAGGCTCGTGCATCTCAATTCTTGCTTCTTTTCCTGCCCTCCCCTCTTCCCCAACCCTGCCTATCGCCGGCCTCATTGCTCCAGTTCTTCCTCACGCTGGACCAGTCTGTGCTGATGAGCTTGCAAGGTCACTGCCTGGGGAGGGGGAGGAGAGGAGGTGCTCACGTCAGCAAAGATGTCATATCGCCCTCGGGGTTCCTGTGGTTTTACTATGAGATCCTGCCCAAACCGAAGGACAAATCTAAACGTTTGGTTAGCATGGCCATTTTAGGCTGAAAAGGCATGGATAACCTAAAGGATTGTGGATTCTAGATGTTGGTCATGTAGGATAGAAAGATATATGTTTTGAGTTTGATGCCTTAGGATTATATGGAGATGGGAGCTTGGTGCTCTGCCTTAGCAAATAGGGTTGAGGCAAGAGGTGGAGTCCTAGCCTATTTTGAAGATAGAGTGAGTTATAGATGGTGGTAGAAATTTTAAAGTCTGTGGAAAAGAGAGTGAGAGGAGAGAATGAGAAGAAAGCCTTTATCTTTGCAATCTGAAAAACTGAAGGTTGCTGAGATGTGGATAATCACAGATCTCAGAGCCCTTGTGGCTGGAAAGAGATAAGAACTGTAGAACGTGATAATGACTTGAGTTTTTTCAAATGGTTCTCAGTGGAGAGGACCTGATATTTCACCAAGGCTAGAGAGGCCCTGTGTCTAATTAGTAGTAGGAGATGTTTCAGGCCTGATGGATGAGATCTTAGCCACAAAGATCTTATGGTTTTCTATGTAAACCTATATTTCAAAGCTTAACCTAGAGTTCCAGTCCTATAAATTCTGTTTTACTTTTTTTCAGAGTTGCTTAGGGCCTTCCTAAATTACTGAGGCTGGCTTTGAACTCGTGATCCTCCTGTCTCAGTCTCCTAAGCCGCTGGGATTACAGGCTTGTGCCACCACACCAGCTAAATTCTGTTTTACTTTAAGACACTTTGGCTTTTACTCTAAACATTTCTACACATTTCTTTATATAATGAATTGTTTTTATCCACATCCCATTTCATTTCTCCATTTCTCTGCCTTTTTCATTCTGCCTAGGAGGAGCTGAGCTCAGCTGTATAATAATGCCCCACCTTCTGGAGTATGCTCATGACTCCAGCAGTTGGGAGAACCAAAGGACTGTTTGGGGTTGTTAAACACTAGTGATTCCCAGAAATGAGTGAGTGTATGACATTCTCGGAACTTGGTGATGAGGGGATATCTCTATCAAAAGCCAGGATTGTGGAAAAGTGCAGACTAGTGGCAGACAAGGGAAAAGATAACCTAATTTTTAGCAGGTGCTGTCATGAAAGAGGTGTCTCTAGGTTTACGGAGAGTGAATTGTTATGGCCCCTGGCGGCTCTGGAGTAGCAGCTGCTAGCACTGAGCGGTCACCAAGCAGGGGAGGGGCTGTAACTCTTCTATAAATAGTGCTAGGAGCAAGAGTCACTATGGAGATAAAACTGAATCCTATTACCTGTAGGTCCTGCATTGGGAGCAAGAGAAAAAAGCAATATTCTGAGGATGTGAGGTGTTGCAACTAGGTCTTGTTTATTATTAGGTAGGGGAGAAAAAGATAGAACTTCTACTCATAATCTAAACCAAATAGGGCGTTAAGTAAACTGGGGGTGTGTGTGTTTCTATATGTATGGGAGTGCACACAGCAGCAGATGAAGGAGTGGTGTGTGTGTTTTGTAGTGTAATGGGATTCTCTGTGTGACTGTGTGCAGAGCAAAGGCAAAATCGTGGAGCACTGGAAATACCTTGTAGTGGAGTGAAACATTTTATTTAGAGAAGTATATGGAGACTCAACAGGAAATAACAGATAATTAGGATCATGTAAGCTTTTCCTAATTTTCTTTTCTTTCTTTCTTTTTATTTATTTATTTTTATTTTTGGTAGCAGGGATTGACTCCAGGGGTACTTAACTACCAAGATATATCACCAGCCCTTTTTATTTTTAGTTTGAGCCAGGGTCTCACTAAGTTGCTTAGGGCTTTGTTAAGTTGCTGAGGTTGGCTTTGGTTTTGTGATCCTCCTGCCTCCTGAGCGCTGGCATTACAGGCATGTGCCATTGTGCCTGGCAACTTTTCCTAATTTTAGAACTATAGTTTAGGAATTCCTGTGAACACCCTTCCTTGAAACTGGAGAAATCCTAGCATGTCACACTTAATTCATAATTTCTATAAGAAAAAGTAGAGGGCTGTGGCTGTGGCTCAGTGATAGAGCACTTGCCTGGCACATGGGAGGTGCTGGATTCGATCCTCAGCACCACATTAAAAAAATAAATTAAATAAAGATGTTGTGTCCATCTACAACTAAAAATATTTAAAAAAAAAAAAAAGGAATAGAATAAGGCCTCATCTGTATGTATTGTATTACTGATTCTGATCTTGAGACCAGAATAGAGAGTAACTGCTTCAGCACCAAGGGCAGAGCCAGTAGCCATGGCCACTGGGCCCTTTTCTTGCTTGATGGGGGAGAAAAATGATTGAAATGGGGCAACTGGGGTATGGACATTCTTCATCTGTGATCACATGAGCTAGAATAGCCAGCTGTTGTTATTGTCTGAGTGCAATTAACTAGACAGTCTATATGGTAGTTTCTCATCAAGCTAAATGAGGATTGTTGAAACAGAATAATTAGGTTTCCATCTAGACCTAGAAATACAGATTAGTGCTGATTGAAGAGTCTGGTTTGATCCCAATCATCCTTGGAGCAGTCCTGAAAGTGACTTAATTTTTGTTATCATAATGACTGAGTCAGTATTACACTGCCCAGGTCTGTTTTTCAGAAACAGAGCCCCAGGGGCTAGACTGAAAATGAGCCACACTTGATAGTGATGGGGACAGGAGCCATTATTTCTCCTTCTCCTCCTCTTTTTTTTCTTTTCTTTTTTTTTTTTTTTTTTTTTTTTTAGGTGCTGGGAATTGAACCCAGGGCCTTGGCCCCATTAGGTAAGCACTCTACCACTGAACTACATCCCCAGCTCCGTATCCTACTAGTCATTTGACTCTGTGAACTCATAAGCCTAGACACTAGGCTAGACAAGTGTCAAGTTCTCCTGTCTTTAGTACTAAAGTGGAAATTCTTCTGACCTGTGCCCCTGATTGGGATGAAGTTGACAGAGGGATGATTCACTCAGGCACAGCAATGAAATCTTATCAGTCCTTTTTTCCTATTAGACTTGGATTATCAGATAATAACAGAATTCTTCCTGGGAATGAGACTCCTTGCTTGGTGCCCTGAAGTTTCTCTGAGATGAACTGATGAATTGGAACCATGGTGCAAAAGAAGAAGTTCTGTCCCCGGTTACTTGACTATCTAGTGATCGTAGGGGCCAGGTAACCAAGAAGAGATATCTTTGTTTTGTCATGTGGGATAGCCACAAAATATGCAATTCTTCTTCTCTGTTTCCGTGTTGCTTTGCATATCTCAGTTTTTCCTTTTATTTTACCCTTATGGGAGCATTGATGCCCACAGGGAAAACAACACATTGGGTAGATCCAGAGTGTTGGTCTGGACAGAAACAGAGCAAAGTTCTGTTCTTAATTAGCATCTTTGTGATTTTGAGCAAATATAATTTTTTTATATCTGAATTTTCTTATTTTATAAAAAGCAAAAGTACTTTGCACTCCTAATCTACCTACATATACTCTTTTGGTAATTCGTTAGCTAATACTCTTTGAAAGATGTTGTCATAGGTGTTAGTGATCATTTTATTGTTGAAAGTTTTTTTCAGGATAGGTGTATGTCTTCATGACAGTGCAGACTACATTCAGCCTGCCAGCTAATGTTTTCCAAGGTCCTACAGTTGGGTTACTTTATCCACAAGGACATTCTGAGCTTTATTTGTTGACTGTGGTTAAAATTTGATTGCATCTTCTATCTCTTCAGGCTGCTGAGTTTGTCTTTATATTCTTCAGGCACCCGAGCAGTGACAGTGTGGCCCAGACTCCTGAATTGCTACGGCGATACCCGCTAGAGGACCACCCTGAGTTTCCCCTGCCTCCAGATGTAGTGTTCTTCTGCCAGCCAGAGGGCTGTCTGAGTGTGCGGCAGCGGCGCATGAGCCTTCGGGATGATACCTCCTTTGTCTTCACCCTCACTGACAAGGACACTGGTGTCACACGTTATGGCATCTGTGTTAATTTCTACCGTTCCTTCCAAAAGCGAATGCCTAAGGAAAAGGGGGAAGGCGGGGCAGGGTCCCATGGGAAGGAAGGGACTGGTGCCACCTGTGCCTCAGAAGAGGTTGGCACAGAAAGCTCAGAGAGTGGCTCATCCCTGCAGCCTCCTAGTGCTGACTCCACCCCCGATGTGAACCAGTCTCCTCGGGGCAAACGCCGGGTCAAGGCAGGCAGCAGGTCCCGCAACAGTACTCTGACATCCCTGTGTGTGCTCAGCCACTACCCTTTCTTCTCCACCTTCCGAGAGTGTCTGTATACCCTCAAACGGCTGGTGGACTGCTGTAGCGAACGGCTGCTGGGCAAGAAATTGGGCATCCCTCGAGGTGTACAAAGGTACAGTTTGCTGCTCATGCTCGGAAGAGGGGGAAGCGGTTAGAGGTTAGTTATAATTGGTCTGTGAGGGGTGTGGGAAATTTCCTATGCAGGCGCTTTAAACCTATTTAAACACATTAGCCCTTAACTAAGCAGAAGACAGCTGCTGAGCTGAACCTCCTATCATAATTGGGCTTGGAATAATACCGAGGAGTTTGATGTTTTATGGTGGGCATGTCATTAAGTCCTACTACCTATGCATTTTACAGTTGTTCTTGCCCTTATGTAAATAGCTTCTGGTCCCAATGGAGCTCAAAGAGTGGGATTTCCTAATGGTAGTCCTTTTCCAATTGTCATTATACCCTCCATAGTTATATTGGGTTGCAATGAGGTATCAGCTCCTAATGCTTATGTCTGACAGCTGCTGTGTGCTCCTTAGGGACACCATGTGGCGTATCTTTACTGGATCACTGCTAGTGGAAGAGAAGTCAAGTGCCCTTCTGCATGACCTTCGAGAGATCGAGGCCTGGATTTATCGATTGCTGCGCTCCCCAGTACCTGTCTCTGGGCAGAAGCGAGTAGACATTGAAGTCCTTCCCCAGGAGCTCCAGCCAGCTTTGACCTTTGCTCTTCCAGACCCTTCTCGATTCACCCTAGTGGATTTCCCTCTGCACCTTCCCTTGGAACTTCTGGGTGTAGATGCTTGTCTTCAGGTGCTAACCTGCATCCTGTTGGAGCACAAGGTGAGAGGGCCAGCTGCACAGACTTTCTAGGGAAAGAGCTTGACACTGTGGCAGAGGCTAGACAATGAGCTCTTTGAGGACAGGGACTGACATTTTCATCTTTTCATGTCCAGGAATAACAATGCCAGATGTATGGCAGGTATTCATTAGATATGGGTTGAATTAAGGTACTGGTATCATGTAGGGTGTTTTTAGAGGCTTGTCACTCAGTTGAATTATCCTTAATTACACTGACTTAATTCTCAGGAGATATCAGTAGTCCTGTTCCACTTTTGGGATAGGGAGGGAGCAAAAGAACTAGGAAGGTAATGATTCAAGTGAAGATTTCTTCAGTGCTTAGTTAGGGAGGTGGCAGACATGGTAGCACATGGGACAGAGATGATTGTGGAAGCTAAGCTGCAGCTATAGACATGGTGAGAGAATTAAATTGTAGTGTTGAAAGCTGTTTTCTTGTCAACCTGATTTTATGCTGTTGAGTGACTCTTCTGGTGTGGCTGTTGCAGGTGGTGCTACAGTCCCGAGACTACAATGCACTCTCCATGTCTGTGATGGCATTTGTGGCAATGATCTACCCCCTAGAGTATATGTTTCCTGTCATCCCACTGCTTCCCACCTGCATGGCATCGGCAGAGCAGGTGAGTCTGAAGGTGTCTTCTAGCTTTGTAACCTGTATCTTTATAAGGGATCAGGCTCAATGCCCAGAGAAGCTGTCAGTCAATACTTGTCCTCAATCCCTTATAAATTATTTGTCTATGACTGATGGATTTAAACTGACTTAGTGACAAAATCTATGCTATTTATAATTTCTTTATTTCTTTTCTTTAAAATCAGAGTTAAAGGCTGGGGGTGTAGCTCAGTGGTAGAACACTTGTCTAGCATGCACAAGGCCTTGTATTTGATCCCAAGTACTGCAAAAAAGAAAAAATTCCATAATCACAGTTAATGATTGTAGACTACTTGCTACACTGCTGTAGATATTACATAATATACAGAAAATATGTTGTCTTGCCTTTCTAAAATCTGAAAAATTCTGAATTTTAAAATACAACTAGCTTAAGGGGTTTTTTATTTTTAATTTTTTAGATGTTGGTGAACCTTTATTTTATTCATTTATTTATATGCAGTGCTGAGAATTGAACCCAGTGCCTCACACATGCTAAGCAAGCGCTCTACCACTGAGTCACAACCCCAGACCAGCTTAAGGGTTTTGAAAACAGGATTTTGAGTCTATATTTCCTTATCTAGAAAAATCCTGACTTGATAAGTGCTTATAATAGGTTTTGAACTTTGTTTCTTCTTATCCTTTCTACAGCTGCTGTTGGCCCCAACCCCCTACATCATTGGGGTCCCTGCCAGCTTCTTCCTCTACAAACTAGACTTCAAAATGCCTGATGATGTATGGCTAGTGGATCTGGACAGCAATAGGGTAAGGTTCTGGCTAAGGCATCGTAGAGTAAGATTATGTTCTAGACCCAATCCTGTGATACCCGTTTTTCTAGATGTTTCTGTTGTGATACTCGTTAAAACAACTTTTACTCATGCTGCTTTTATTTATTGTCAGGATAGGCCCATGGTTAGGTTTAAAGGATTTAGTTTTGCCAGAATTAAGTGCTCTTCCAGCATTCTTTAAGAGCAGTAGGACAGTTGCTTTTTTTTTTTTTTTTTGTAGTTGTAGATGGACAGCATGCCTTTATTTTATTTGTTTATCTTTATGTGGTGCTGGAGATTGAACCCAGTGCCTCACACGTGCTCGGCAAGCGCTCTGCCACTGAGATAGAGCCCTGGCCCAGGACAGTTACTTTTATGGTATCATTATATGGTGTAGATCTCCTGATGCTTTTCCTGGGATATGGTTTCCAGTAAGAAATGGCCCTGGGCTGGGGATGTGGCTCAAGCGGTAGCACGCTCGCCTGGCATGCGTGCGGCCCGGGTTCGCTCCTCAGCACCACATACAAACAAAGATGTTGTGTCTGCTGAAAACTAGAAAATAAATATTATTAAAAAAAAAAAGAAATGGCCCTTTCAGGGCAGACTTAAAAAAACATTATATTTACATCTTGCAGCATGAGTACATTAAAACTTTAGAAAAACTTTATAAGTGTTCATTGGAAAACAAAAATACATGAAGAGAAAAAAATAAGAACTGTAACCTTATTATCTAGTCACCAATAACATTTAGGTATATATTTTTTTCAGATGTGTGTGTGTGTGTGTGTAACATGTGATAATATTATACACATAAAATCTTCCTATTATCTTCTTTACCCTTATGGAAGTGAAACTTCTGATTAGTTATTCTAAGGTCTTGCTTTTATCTTTTCTCTGGTACAGGTGATCGCCCCAACCAATGCAGAATTGCTCCCCATCCTGCCAGAGCCAGAATCATTAGAGCTGAAAAAACATTTGAAGCAGGTAGGTGAAGAGTGAATGAAAGGAAAGGGAGTAATAGATGCCCTGGGGTTGCTGTAGGAAGGCAGCTATTCTAAGACCCTGTTTCATTTTAGACTTTACAAAGCAGATTTTCACTACTTTACAAAGTAGATTTTCTTTGCCTCTGTTGGGTTCAAGAAGAGGTATATCCAATTTTGCGTGGCAGGGGTGAATCTCAAAAGGATTCCTTCTAATTTGTTGTATGCCTTGTCACTGTATGATGCTCTATAAAATGATTTTTACTTTCTATTTCTTGTCGTGTCTGCCATTCTTTATGGCCTTGGAGCATTCTCTCAATTTTCTAAGATGGGAGTTTGCAGTTTGGACCATCAGGCTTGGACCGTTGGGCTCCTTTTATACTGTCTCCTTGAATTGATCCTATAGTCCCTATAGAATCCTTTCCTCAAAAATTCCTTTTTTGGAGGGGAGTGTGGTGATGCATACCTGTAATTCTAGCAACTCAGGAGGCTAAGGCAGAAGGACTATAAGTCAAGGCCAGTCTTAGCAACTTAGTGAGTCCCTGTCTCAAAATAGGAAAAAATTAAAAAATGTTCTGGGATGTAGCTGAGTGGTAAATCACCCCTGGATTCAATCTCCAGCACCCCTTCCCCCTCCAAAAAATCCTTTTTTGAGTAATCCCTTACATCTGTTTTTCATTGGTTCATTTTCTTCTCCTCCTTCTGCATGCCAAACAGTACCTGGAGGTAAAACACAATAAGGCTACATTCCCTTCCCCTGCTGTATGTGTTATATAGGACAAGCAGTAGCTAGCACTGTGTTTATTTTTATTAATCCCACTCTCTTTTGAAAGGTCTTTAGAAATCTTTTTTTCCTGTGTTGTCTGAAGTACTCAGTAGTTTCTCTAGATGGTATATGTTTGAGTTTAAATGGGTCATTTTGTATCCTTGTCACTCTCCCTTGCTTCATCACTGCTCATGTAATATGATACCTTGCTGCAGAGTCTGGTAGGATTGCAAGTTCAGAAACTTCTAGCTGTCTTCATTTACTGTGTTTTCATTATTGATAATTGCTTAAGTATGACTGATGAGATGGAGAAGTTGATATAAGAAATTATGTCAGTTTATTACTTTAAATGTTTATAGGAACTAAGATCCTTGAGCTCATTGATTTTTGTATTCTGACCACTGCTTCTCAAAAGTGTGGTCCATGGACCATTAGCATCGCCTGTAAACCCAGTTACTTGGGAAGCTGAAGCAGAAGAATCACAAGTTGGAGGCCAGCCTGGGCAACTTAGCAAAATCCTGTTTCGAAACAAAAAATAAAAAGGGCTGGGATGTAGTTCAGTGATAAAGCACACCTAGGTTCAATCCCTAGTACTGAAAACAAAACAAAACCTCAGAACCATCCCAAACATACAAAATTAGAATCTGCATTTTTAACAACATCCTAGGTGATTCCTGTGCTCACTAACTTTTAAAAAGCATTATTGATCTAGACCAGTGGTTTTCAAATTGCCCCATGGAGCCTCCTAGGGGCTGATTTCAGCTGGGTACACTGAATACATGAAGCTCTGGTTCCTCCAGAGAAACTGTTTTTAAATTTCAGTTATGTTTCCATATAGATTTCAATTTGAAAAACTGTTCATTAAAAAATAAAAATAGAAAACTATTGTCAGATTTGATCAAGTTGTCTTGAGCTAGGTTGATTGAGAGCAATATTCAGGCTTAATAATTCAGGCAGTATTATAAAGGCTAAAATATTTGGAATCTTTTTTCAAAGATGAAGGCTATGAAATGAATTGGCTGTGATTTGCAGAGCACAGTTCTCTGTTGAGAACTTTTTGGTCAGAAAGTGTGATGTAGAAGACTTTAAGAATGTTCTTTCCTAGAGTTAAGATTGGCTAACTGCCCAGATACCTTATATGAGGAGTTTTTTGTTGTTCCTCAGGCCCTAGCCAGCATGAGTCTCAATACCCAGCCCATCCTCAATCTGGAAAAATTTCATGAAGGCCAGGAGATCCCACTTCTCTTGGGAAGGCCTTCTAATGACCTGCAGTCCACACCTTCCACTGAATTCAACCCGCTCATCTATGGCAATGATGTGGATTCAGTGGATGTTGCAACCAGGTAAGACCAAGCAAACTAAAGAAATCCTGAGTTCTTAAATTGGTTTCTTTGCTCCCTTGGGTTTGGGGCTAGCTACTTCCCATAGCCAGAGTTTCTTTATGTATAAAATGTGTTTGATATTTTGTTATATTTTCCACCTTAGCAAAAGCAAAGAGAATAGTTTATCACCTTTTTAGGATAAAGAAAAAGACCACAGGGCATGATGGCACATGCCTATAATATAGTAACTCCGGAGGCTGAGGCAGGAGGATTGCAAGTTCAGAGCCAGCTTCAGCAACTTAGCAAGACCCTATCTCAAAATAGACAGACAAATAAATAAGGGGCTGGGGATGTACCTCAGTGGTTAAGCACCCCCTGGGTTCCATCCCTGGTACCAAAAAGAGAGAGAGAGAGAGAGAGAGAGAGAAAGAAGAAGACCAATGATTCTCTAAATCTCTTCCAAGCTAGGCTTGATGATGTACACCTATAATTCCAGAGGCTTGGGAGGCTGAGGTTGGAGGATCATGAATTTAAGGCCAGGCTGGGCAATTTAACAAGACCCTGTCTCAAAATAAAAAATAGAAAAAAAGGGCTGGGGATGTGGCTTAATGGTAGGCCCCTTGTTCAATCCCTGTAAGGCAAAGTGGAACAAAACAAAACAAAAAACAAAAAATAGATGAAAGATATCTCTCCCTTGGATGTTGGAAATCTGTTGAAGAATGGCTTTGGGAGGTGGTTAACACTGTGAATTGTGAAGTCCTCACTTTACAGGGTTTGGTTGGTTCTCAGCTTATCTCAGCGTCATCTTCTTCCCCAGAGTGGCCATGGTACGGTTCTTCAACTCTGCCAACATGCTGCAGGGCTTTCAGATGCACACCCGCACCCTGAGACTATTTCCTCGGCCTGTGGTAGCTTTCCAAGCTGGTTCCTTTTTAGCCTCACGTCCCAGGCAGACTCCCTTTGCTGAGAAACTGGCCAGGACTCAGGCTGTGGAGTACTTTGGAGAATGGATCCTAAACCCCACCAATTACGCCTTTCAGCGAATTCACAACAGTGAGTTCACCTGCCCTCTGTTCTGCTCCACCTTCTATCTTTGAGCTCCTGATGGCCCTTCCTTTAGCTTGTTCTTTACTAATCTTTACCTGTCCCTTCCATTCCTGTTTTTTTTTTTTTTTTTAGGTGGGAGGTCCCAGGGATTGAACTCAGGGGAACTGGACCACTGAGCCACATCCCCATCCCTATTTTGTATTTTATTTAGAGACAGGGTCTCATTGAGTTGCTTAGCACCTCGATTTTCCTGAGGCTGGCTTTGAACTCATGATCCTCCTGTCTTAGCCTCCTGAGCTGCTGGGATTACAGGCATACACCACCGTGCTTGGCTCCATTCTTGGCTTTTTTTTTTAATATTTATTTTTTAGTTGTAGTCCGACACAATACCTTTATTTTATTTATTTATTTTTATGTGGTGCTAAGGATCAAACCCAGGGCCCCATACATGCTAGGCGAGCGCTCTACCGCTGAGCCACAACCCCAGCCCTCCATTCTTGTTTTGTTTTAGACTTTTTCCCTTTTTGTGTGTTTACTTGCCTTTCACCCCTTGCTCCCAACTATTCTTTTTCTTCCTTGGGTAGATATGTTTGATCCAGCCCTGATTGGTGACAAGCCAAAGTGGTATGCCCACCAGCTGCAGCCCATCCACTATCGAGTCTATGATAGCAACTCCCAGCTGGCTGAGGCACTGACTGTACCACCAGAGCGTGACTCTGACTCTGACCCCACTGATGACAGGTGAGCAGTCCCTCTTATTAGCCCTTCTCCACAGCACATAGTGGGAGGCAAAACCTCTTAGGAGTTAGGAGTCAAGTCTTCGAAGCCTGGTATTTTATTTTGGTTGATTGTTTTTCTTGGCTTCTTTATTTTATCTTATTCCTGAACTTGAGTTAAAGTGTGCTCCATTTTTGTTTTTCCAAGTTTTGATTGCAGATTTTTTTTCCCCTCTCTTTTTCTGGTTTTGTTTGTTTGTTTCTTTTTCTTTCTTTTTTTTTTTTTTAATGCCCTTCACTCTGCAGTGGCAGCGATAGTATGGATTATGATGACTCAAGCTCTTCTTACTCCTCCCTGGGTGACTTTGTCAGTGAAATGATGAAATGTGACATCAATGGTGATACTCCCAGTAAGTGTGCTTTGGTGAGATTGGCCTGCTCTAAACAGGGGTTAGGCTTGGGGATGAGATGATCTATACCTGTCTCCCTTGGGTTCTGGCAGATGTGGACCCTCTGACGCATGCAGCACTTGGGGATGCCAGTGAGGTGGAGATTGATGACCTGCAGAACCAAAAGGAATCAGAGGAGCCTGGCCCAGACAGTGAGAACTCTCAGGAAAACCCCCCAGAACGCTCCAGCTCCAGCACCACTGCCTGTAGCAGCCCTAGCACCGTCGTCCATGGAGCCAGCTCTGTACGTGAGCACGAGGAGGGGTGGGTGGATGAGAACCGTGGGTGGGAATGTGGGCCTTGTCTCTGTTAGAAAGGTCATGCTATAGCTGTGAATTTGCCTTTCTTCACACTACCCTTCAGAGGCCCTATGACTTTAGAGCCTCTGAGATATAGTTTTGACCCCAGAGGGAGGTTACTGGGCTTTGTTCAGGGTGCAGCAAAGATGCTCGTGGTACAGTTTATGGGGACAGAGAACGGGGTGCCACAGAGATTTTTTTCCCACACATTTTATAGGCTGGGAATGGGATAGATCTGGCCTGGCCCTGCCAGACTAAGAATAAGGGAAGGCATCATTAGGCACCATGTGACCATATTTTTAAATTTAATATGGCCCTTAGGAACCTGCTGAGTCTACAGAGATGGATGATAAGGCAGCAGTAGATGTCTCCAAGCCCCTCCCTACCGTGCCTCCCAGCATTGGCAAATCGAATACGGACAGACGCCAGACAGAGATTGGAGAGGGGTCAGTGCGCCGGCGAACCTATGACAATCCATACTTCGAGCCCCAGTATGGCTTTCCCCCTGAGGAAGATGATGATGAGCAGGGGGAAAGTTACACTCCCCGATTCAGCCAACATGTCAATGGCAATCGGTGAGAGCCTGGGGATTCCTTCTAGATGGGTGACTGAAGGACCTCACTCCAGTGGACCCTGGGCAAGGGTTAATCAGAGAGTCTGAGAGTCTAAATGCTCTCATGGTTCTGCCATCCCTAAAGGGTGGTTCTTTGATCTAGGGGCTTAGCTGTGGGAAGGAAGCAGTGACTGCAGTGTAGTGTAAGGACCACACTCCCAAGATTAGGTACCGCTGCCTGGGGCTCATAGGTGCCGCTGTGCATTCAAGGGCTCAAAAGCTGCTGCGGCCCAACAGCTTGAAACTGGCAAGTGACTCCGAAGCAGAGTCAGACTCCCGAGCAAGCTCCCCCAACTCCACCATCTCCAACAACAGCACCGAGGGCTTCGGGGGCATCATGTCTTTTGCCAGTAAGTGCCTTAAGCTCTCTCATTGCTCTCTTCCTTTTTTCTCTATGGTAGGGTCTAACTATGGCAGATGTGTCTTAGAACTTGAGATGTGGGCTGGGTTGGCATTACCAGGCTCTAATGCAGATTATTTGGGTAATACTAAATAAAGTACTTTTAGATGACATAGTAAAAATGTGGGTGCAGTGGTACAAACTTGTAATCCCAGCTACTTGGGAAGCCGGTAGGTTCTATCTAGTCCAGCCTGGGCAACTTAGCAAGTCACTTCTTCAAAATAAAGACAATAGGGCTGGGGTTGTGGCTCAGAGGTAGAGCTGTCACCTAGCATGCATGAGGCACTGGGTTCGATCCTCAGCACCACATTAATAAAATAAAATAAAATAAAGGTATTGTGTCCACCTTAAAAATATTAAAAATTATCTTTAAAAAATAAATAAAATTAAAAAAAATAAAGAGAGTAGCTCAGTGGTAGAACCCTTGCCTAGCATGTGCAAGGCCCCAAGTTCAATCTCCAATACCTGGGAGGAAAAAAAAAAGACTAGTCATTATTTTGTTATACCTGGAAGTTTAGTTTTATTTCAGGCAAGACAGATGAGTGGTCAACCATAAATTAAGCACTAAATTCAAAATCAGCTGGGCGAGGTAGGGCACACCTATAATGCGAGCAGCTCTGGAGGCTGAGACAGGATGATTGCGAGTTCAAGCCAGCCTCAGCAATGGCAAGGGGATAAGCAACTCAGTGGAGACCCTGTCTCTAAATAAAATACAAAATAGGACTGGGGATGTGGCTCAGTAGTTGAGTGCCCCGAGTTCAATCCCAGATACCAGAAAAAAAAAAATTCATAATCACATACTTACTTGTATACTTATGGGAATATTCTGGTCAATATTGCTTCAGATATATATTTGATACCTTCTTTGCCTGGTGAGGGCCTTTTGTGAACATGCTTTGAAATCTATACAGGATTGTTTTTTTTTTTTTTTTTTTTGGTGGTGCTGGGATTAAACCCAGGGCCTTATGCATGTGAGACAAGCACTCTACCAACTGAGGCATTTCCCCAGCTCCGGGATTGATTTTTGATTTTTGTACTTAGAGAATTTCTAGCAATGAGGGGTGGTATCATTTAAAGATTAGAAATAGACCTCTAAACTAAGGACTTCAGAGAGTCAACAGAGAGATAGTTGTGATTTTGTGAGTTTTTTCAGATGCCAGGGAGGAGCTGCACCCACTTCAGACCAGAAGCATATTAACTACCAGTTTTCATGCTGATAGAAGTAGATGAGAAACACGGATATTGTGGGAGGTAGCCAGAGAAGGTTGTACTGGGTTTTGAGCATTCCTGGCAATGGCTCCTTTGTGTGCCCTAAGTTAGACTTGGTGCCTTCTAGATAGTGTAGGTTGTCTGATCTAGCACACTGGGATGCTGCCTGAAAGGAGAGACGAAGACGGTGCTGCAGTCACTGGAGGAGATGCTTTGATTGTTCGTCCTGCTAACTCATTGCTCTCACCCTCCCCACCCTCATAGGCAGCCTGTATCGGAACCACAGTACAAGTTTCAGCCTTTCAAACCTCACACTGCCCACCAAAGGTGCCCGAGAGAAGACCACACCATTCCCCAGTCTGAAAGGTAACTACAACTTTCTTTTGCCAAACTAGGTTACTCTGGAAGGTGTGTCAGGCCTATGGGTGCTTGTCAGGAGCCCTGTGTACCGTGTATCATTGGATTTGGCTGTTGCCCTTCATATTGCTTCTCATGGCTCTCACTGCACATCATGGGCTCTCGATGGTTGTCATATGGAGACCGTATCTGTAGCTAGAAAAGGCCCTGTTACATTATTGAGGATAGTGGCAATTGTGGGATTACTGTCGCTCTTGGCAGGAAACCTTGTCAAAGATACACAACTAACATAGGGATCATCAGCTGCCCCTAGTCAAGGGCAGGTTCCCACTGTGTGAATTTAGGATGAACTCCATCCCAAGGAACTGGCCCACAGAAGGATAGCTGCGGAGCTCCTGGCAGTGTTTATGGTGTCCAGCCTTTTACTATGGCTTCATGTCAACCTGGAGGCTGTGAGTGGGCCAGGTAGTATTAATTGGCTTCTGGACCCCGTTAAGACCTTGTTTCAGTTCACTTGTGATCTCTGGCAGTTTGAGAGGCTCTTCTGATTTTAATTTTATTTTCTTTTGTTTTCTCTGGATATTGTGCTGAAAGATTTAATCCTGATAGGAAGTATCGTGAGAAGCAACTCCTTATATTAACTGACTTCTCACTCCCAGGGTTTAAAAAGATCAGGAGTCTTTGGTGATGATGGGAAAATGCCATATGTGGGCAAAAATGACTTCAGAGTGGTAGTGTTGAGAACTCACTAGCGCTGCTCCCGTGCATCCATACACAGCTGGGTAGGTTAGAGGTGGAAAGGTGTTAGTGTTGCTGGCTTTCCATTTGATACATTTGAGGGGAAGAGCAATTGGAACTCTCATTTGCATGTTGATGCTTCGTCTCATTTGCTGCACTTATCTCTCCTACCAGTTTCCCATCCTCACAGTCCTGCCCCACTTCCCATGATAGCATCAGCAAGATGAGTCTCTCCCCTGTGGATGCCCACAGGCTCTCTGGACCCCTGTGCTAGATGTTTCATGAAAACCAGTGGCCCTTCTTTCATGCATGTGCCTGTTCAGCACCTCAGGCTCTCCATATCATTTACCCCAGCCCTGGCTTTGAGAGTTTTCCCTTTAAGGATGGTCTTCCATAGAGCCTTGGTTGTCTCCTGGTCACTTGGCTTCCAGCTCTGATGTGCCCACTATTTAAGCTCTGGGAGAATGCTTGGATGATCTGACTTACTCTCCATCGATGGGTACAAGGGGATGCGGTATTGTGGTGCACCTACTAATTGTGTATTTTGTGTCCCAGTATTTGGGCTAAATACTCTAATGGAGATTGTTACTGAAGCCGGCCCCGGGAGTGGTGAAGGTGGGTCTTGCCCGTGAGCTGTGCATGATCTTTTTTTTCCTAGCATCTTCCGTGCCTGCCTGAGGGCCATCCTCCTCATGAAGCAAGAGGCATCACATGAGTGACCTGCCTTGCCTATCCCCCATGACACCCATGCTGCCCACAGGGCATGCTGCTGGTGCATGTGGAGTGGCCTGAGTCTCCATCCCCACCTCCTTCACATTGCCATGGCTGCTTTCTGCCTGTGTGTGATGCCCTGGTGCCACTCCCACCCAGCCCTGCTGGGGAATGGGCATGGAACATGGCCACCCAGGGTTGTGCTACTGTGGGTTTCTGGACTATGACAGTAATGTCTCTCATTCTGCCTTCCCTGCTTATAGGAAACAGGAGGGCATTAGTGGACCAAAAGTCATCTGTCATTAAACACAGTCCAACAGTGAAAAGAGAACCTCCATCACCCCAGGGCCGATCCAGCAATTCTAGGTAATAAATGCAGAGCTGTTTTAAAAATTCTCAGGTGGAGATAGATTCCTGTATAAAGCTTGAAGGATGCTCAGGATTGGGAAAGAAGCTCTAAGGATGGTAAATGAAATCAGTTTCCTGCCTGATTTCCACTTCTGATCCAATCCACTGCAGCAGTAACAGTTTGCAGTGTTGAAGAGGGTGAAATTGCTGAGGTGGGACTTGGCAAACCAGGTTATCTGCAGAGTTGGGGGATGTGGAGGCTGATGATATTCAGAGACTTGGCTTTGCATTTTGCCCCGGGAGGCAAATATATGGTCTGGTGAAAGGGGAGATGCTCTCCCGAGAAGCTGATAACCACAAAAGTGGTGTGTGGACCCTATAGTGAGAACCAGCAATTCCTGAAGGAGGTGGTACACAGTGTGCTGGACGGCCAGGGAGTGGGCTGGCTCAACATGAAAAAGGTACGCCGGCTGCTGGAGAGCGAGCAGCTGCGAGTCTTTGTCCTGAGCAAGCTGAACCGCACCGTGCAGTCAGAAGATGATGCTCGGCAGGACATCATCCCAGATGTGGTCAGTGTTTGGGCTAGGGGGTCGGAATCGACTGAGCAGAGGGCTGTGGCTGCCAAAGGGAATTTGCTAATTCTAGGACCTGGGTTGTCGTTGCAGGAGATCAGTCGAAAAGTGTACAAGGGAATGTTAGATCTCCTCAAGTGCACAGTCCTCAGCCTGGAGCAGTCTTATGCCCATGCAGGTCTGGGTGGCATGGCCAGCATCTTTGGCCTTCTGGAAATTGCCCAGACCCACTACTATAGTAAAGGTAGGGATCGTACCTGCTGGGCAACATGCCCTCTGCAACTGCCCCACTTGTCAGAAAGAGTCAGCACATTGTTCCCATGGCAAGTTTCCCAGTGCCTTGCTGCTTCCCATCAGGTCTTGGGGTTTTATTTTCTAGTGCATGTTTCTATGTAGTGGGTATTTAGAAAAATAAGGTCTTAGCTTTTCTTTCCTTGAACTTATTCTATTCCACATCCTCCCATATCCTGGCTTCTCCTACCTCATTTCCCTGCCTCTATTCCCATTCGCTTCCTTTTTTGACCTCTTTCTGTATTTGATCTCTTCTCAGAACCAGACAAGCGGAAGAGAAGTCCAACAGAAAGTGTAAATACCCCAGTTGGCAAGGATCCTGGTCTGGCTGGGCGGGGGGACCCAAAGGCTATGGCACAACTGAGAGTCCCCCAGCTGGGACCTCGGGTACCAAGTGCTACAGGAAAGGGTCCTAAGGAAGTGGACACTAGAAGTTTAAAGGAAGAGAATTTTGTAGCCTCTATCGGTACGTATCATGGTGTCTGGTGTGCTGAGGGGTTCTGGCTTCTTAAATATTCCTCCGTCCTTTCCATCTGTCCAGAATCCTGCCTTTCTCTTCCCCATGCTTTGCTTTCTAAAGAGGGAGATAAGTCTATTTCCAGTGCATTTCTCTATGCTTCTCTATCCCTTATGCCTTGTCTGTAGCCACCCCACTGACATCTCAGAGGAAGAACAGAGGTTTTGTTTAGAGTCCCTGTGAGGCTTAGTGCAGGGAGTCTGAGCTACACTCCTGGTCCCTCTTTTTATTTACATCTAAATTCTTCATATAGCAAAGAGACCATGTGAGTTTCTAGAGGCTAGAAGGAAGCTTATAGATATGTCTTTGGGCTATAAAACTATGGTCATCTGGGTCTCTGAAGCCAATTTTCCCCCATCCAAAGCATTACACTGCCCTGGAATTCGCGCCTCTGCAGCCTGTCCAGTGACTCTGTTTCCCTGGGTTCTAGACCTCAGAGGTATATATTTCTGTGTCAGCTCTTCTTTAAACCCTTCCTTTCCTGGACTTCATTAAAAGCTTTCTCCTGTTTGATAGTTTTCCATTCACTCTCTGGTATCACCATTGTTTGGCTCACTCCCTACTTCACCTTGCATCATCCAGGCTGTGTCTTTTCTGGTTCTAGGTGCCTGGGCATTATGCTTCCAGCTGATGCCTCTTTGCCACAACCGTTAGTGATTGGCACTATGTCTGCGTAAATGGTAATGAGGAGCCGTTTCCCTTTTCAGAGAGCTCCTTTCACTAGCCAGATAACTTTCTCCTAGAGGCATTCAGTCCTGGCTTTCTCCTGCCTGGTGTGATGTTCTAGAAAAAGTACCTACCTGCCTGTCTAGAGGTCTGGAGTTTTAGTCCTGTATCATCCACCAACTAGGAATGAGACTTTGGGCAAATAACTTCCCTCACAGGGGCTCTCTCTCCTCCTTTAGGAAATGAGAAGGTCACACTAAGTAAACCCTGAAGTTCCTTCCAGGGACACAACTGTACCAATTGGTGTTGTTTCTGCTTTGCCCTACTGAGACACTTGTCTCACTATTTTGTCTTCTCTATCAGAGGCATTTCCCTCGAGGACTGGCTAAGAATGGGTCTCTTGGTAGGGCAGGCTCTAGTTCTGATGGGGAGTTTGTTTTTTGGGTAGCAAGAAGGAGGGATGCTGACTGCCTGCATGAGTTGGCCTCTGTCCAATCCAGTGAGTCAAACAGATGGGTGCTGCTGCTTCTGAACCCCTTTGACTGCTTGAGATGATCATCTCTCTTATCTGTTGTCTGTAAGAGCTGCTGTTCTCAGCTTGTTTGGCAGAGAACGTGGTGTGATGGAAGTCAAACTGATCCTAAATTATGCGCTCTCGAGCACATGTTCCAGACTCTTTAGGATCCGTTTCCTCATGCCAAAATGAAGGAGCTTGATGAAGGGCCCTTCAGCTCGAATATTGTACAGGGTTTTTGTTGGCACATTGGGGTTAGTTTTAGAAAGTTGATGTCTTTTTTCTTGAATTTGGGGAAGGCATTGGAATCTCTTGATTCTTCCTCCCTGCCCCCAAATAAAAATACTTTGTATCTCTTGATTGGTAATCCTGTGCCTGAGACTGAAGCAACTTGGGTGGGTGGGTTTCCATTTCGTCATCTGACCAGCCTCTGACTCTCTCTGTCTTTCTCTCCTGCTTGCATTGCATCTGGGGTAGAATTGTGGAACAAGCACCAGGAAGTGAAAAAGCAAAAAGCTTTGGAAAAACAGAGTAAGGAACAAATGCCCCTTCCTGTCCTTAAGTCTCCCATACCTGCCAACTTCCCAGGCCCAGTTGGGGCAGGCTCCCTTTGTCAGCCCCACCCCAAATTTACTCTTGGGGGGTATTGGACTGAAAGCAGGTAGGTGGTGTGTGACTCCGAGGTATATGGCTTGTAGACTGCTTCTTGCCCCTCCCCTTGTAGCTAGCAGTGAGGGTGTCGACTGAGTAAAATCCCTTAGATTGGTTTTCTACTGTGGCAGAGTTGGTGGGGAGAACCTTTGCTGATTGCAGAGTCCCTCATTGGCTGATAGCTCCCTCACCGTTAGGAGGCCTGTGGGCACAGTTGGCAGAGATGGTTGCTGTCCCTCTGTGTTGAGTCTGTAGCTGCCCACCTCTCCCTCTGGTGGCTTGCCTAGGCACGCTTTCTGGCTTTCTGTCATTCTGTCTTTCTGCCATACCATTGTGGGTGGGTGGGGTAGAATGGGATTTTTTTTCCTCAAATGTAGGCATTATAGGATGGGGGTAGGTGAGTGTTCCTCTCTTTTAGCCTAACCTTTTCTGGCCCCTTTGGGTGCATCTGCGTGGGAAGCACTGAATGACCTGGGGACCCTTAAATGATCTCGGCATCAGTGAAGCTCTGATTCTGGGTGCCATGGAATGTGGTTTAGACATTAGTTTGTGGAAACTTTTCTGTTTTAGGATGATTTGCTTAGAATTTTCTCAGACTGAGACGTTGGCTGCAGAGTCCCTTGAGACCAGGTCTAATTTGTACCTGGGGACCTCTTCCTCCAGTGATTCCTGGGGGTGGAGGGGCAGTCCCTGGAAAGGTGACTGGGACATGCTGAACAGGTCTTGGACCAGGCTGTGCTGCTGTCCCACTCCCTTCACCAGCCTGCCCCGAGCCTCTGTGTGTGAGTAACAGAAGTTTTCCCCTACTCAGGGCCCGACGTAATCAAACCTACCTTTGACCTTGGTGAAACAGAGGAGAAAAAATCACAGATCAGCGCAGATAGTGGTGTGAGCCTGACATCTGCTTCCCAGGTTTGTGGCAACCTTGTTGAAAATATTTAAGGTTAAATTTGCTATCTCGAGCTGGGGACATAGCTCAGTTAGTAGAGTGCTTGCCTTACCTGCACAATACCCTGGGTTCAATCCCCAGCCCACAAAAAAAAAATTGCTATTTCACAACACATTTCTATTTGTTTGTTTGTTTATTTATTTATTTTTATGGTGCTCAGGATTGAACTCAGGGCCTCACACATGCTAGAAAAATACTCGATCACTAAGCTACACCTTCAGCCCCTATTTTAACTTCAGTTAAAAACAACAACAAAAAAGAAGCAACAACTTCAAAACAACATATCCCATTATAGAGCAATGATTTAATGAGTATACTAGATACAATATTAATATCTATTAAAGATTGTGTTTTCAAGCTAGTGTGGTGGTACACGCCTGTAATTCCAGCAGTTTAGGAGACTGAGGCAGGAGGATTGCAAGTTTGAGGCCAGCCTGGGCAACTTAGCAAGACCTTGTTTCAAAATAAAAAAGAACTAGAGATGTAGCTTAGTGGTAAAGCATCCCTGGGTTCAATCCCCAATCCAAAAAAAGATTGTGCCTTCAAAAATTTAGTGACACAGGAAAATATTTCCAAAACTAGGTATACAATATTAATTCAATTTTATTATAAGAATGTATTTAGAGGGCTGGGATTGTAGCTCAGTGGTAGAGCACTTGCCTTGCATGCATGAGGCCCTGGGTTCAATCCTCAGCATCATATTAAAAAAATAAATGAATAAATAAAATAAAGACATTAAAAAAAAGTATTTAGAAAAAGACTAAAAGGAAATTATGAAAAACAGTGGTTAATGTGGGTGGCAGATTTGTGGCTTATTCTTATTTCCTTATTCTTTCATGTGTTTTCTGCAATGAGTGTGTATTTTTTAATGTGTATTATTTCTTTTTTGTTATGTAAGTCATAAATTTTCTATCAAAGAAAAAATAAGGGGCTGGGGTTGTGGCTTAGGGGTAGAGTGCTCGCCTCGCACATGCGAGACCCTGGGTTCGATCCTCAGCACCACATAAAAATAAATAAGTGAAATAAAGGTATTGTGTCCAACTACAACTAAAAAATAAATATTTAAAGAAAAAAGAAGTTGCTCATGACCTCTCTAGAGATGATATCAGAAGGGTGGGGAGGGGAGAAGGAAGAAGGTTCAGTATTTCTGAGGGAAACCGAGAGCAGGTAGGACACCTCTCCTACTATGTCTGTCCCTGTATCTTATTGCAGAGAACTGATCAAGACTCAGTCATCGGTGTGAGTCCACCTGTTATGATCCGCAGCTCAAGTCAGGATTCTGAAGTTAGCACCGTGGTAGGGGAACACCACACTGGCATCTTGGTGGGTGGAGTGTGGGTTCCCCCTTTGGAAAAGGGGGCTTCTTTCTCTTTGGAGGGTGCTCTTAGTCTCAGGTCAGCATGGGTCTCATGGTGGAGATAGGTACCTGTCATAGGTGCACATATACAGGATTTCACAGGGCTTCTCCTCATCTTATGAAGAATCAAGTACTTAGAGAAGCCACCTGACTCACTTATAAAATTTGATGCTTTCTTATTGTAGCAGAGAGCTCAAACAGTGTGACATTTCTGGGGCCCTTCCCTGGGGAGTATCTCTTACTACCTCTTTTCCCTTTCCAGGTGAGTAATAGTTCTGGAGAAACGCTTGGTGCAGACAGTGATCTGAGCAGCAATGCAGGTGATGGACCAGGTGGTGAGGGCAGTGCCCACTTGGCAAGTTCCCGGGGCACTTTGTCTGATAGTGAAATTGAGACCAACTCTGCCACAAGTGCCATCTTTGTAAGCTTTGTTTACTAACAAAAGAAGACCATTTCTTTAATGGGGGAGGGAAATAGGTTAGAAAAGAATGAAAAGTTGAGATACAATAAGAAGGAAAAGATGGAACTTGGGAAGGGTATAGTTCAGTGGTAGAGCACTTGCCTTATAGTTGCAAGGCCCTGGGTTCCATCCCCAGCACCAGAAAGAAAAGGAAAATGTAAAGTAAGGTATAGATAATATTTGGCTTTAAGAACAATGTTTTTTAAGGCATTTGTCAGTAATTTGACTCCAAGATCTAGACTTTTAGAACCCTTTCCTTAATCATAGGTGAGTTAAGTGTCCTTCTCAATCAGATATGAGCTTTGAATCATATGTAGTAATAATCCCCATATTTTAAAATTGATTGATTTTTAATTGATGCATTATAGTTGTACATAAAAATGGAGTTCATTGTTATGTATTCATGCATGCACATGGCATAGTCTGTGATCCTCATATTTGAAATGGACCAAGCAAAACCTTGTAACTCTCATTTAGTGCCAGTCTACATATTAACTGTGGATCAGTCCAGTTTTATTTTGGTTACTGCTCTATTTCTATATAGTACCTTCAAACAATATTTCAGGGCTGGGGTTTTAGGTTAGTGGTAGAGCGCTTGCCCAGCAAGTGTGAGGCACTGGGTTTGATCCTCAACACCACATAAAAATAAATAAATAAAAGATATTGTACCCATCTATAACTTTAAAAAGTTATAAAAAAAATAGTATTTCATTACTAACATTTAAAATATTTACTCATTAATAAACGTGTGAAGTGATTAATAAGTGCCAGATTCCATACTAAAGGAACAGAGAGGAATAAGGCATGATTCTCACTCTCAAAAATTTGTAATTCGACAGATTGCTATAAATAGTCTCTTCTGATAGGCAAGGGGAACAAAGCCTTAGGAAAAAAAGAACTTGCCCTAGGTCACCCAAAGTTCTTGGCTAACTGTAATGAAATGAATTCTTTTTAGTCTTTGCCTTAGACAAGTAAGGCAAGTGTATATGTGCCTCTTTATATGCATTAAATACTTTGATACACTTGCCTCTTTGTTAGAGAAGAGAATGGGTATTCTGTAGAAGATCTCATAGATCCTTATCTTTGGTCTGTGGGGAGAATGGAAAATAAAATTTAAAAGAAATCAATTATTTAACTCTGGTTACCAAGACATTCTGTAGATGTATTTCTTCTAATAGTGATTCCCGAGTGAAGGTTGGGATAGGATTGGGAATCAGGGTCCCTCAAGTTAATGGGCCTTAACTCTGAGCTCAGTATTGTTTTAGCAAGAATATTTAAAATCCTTCCAATGTGCTTCTGTTCTGGATGTTAAAATTAATATCATGGAATATCAGTCTTCAGAAAGCCATTCATTCAGCTCTGTGCTACCTTTCCTAGACCTTCCTGAGACAAATTCTTACTTGTCCTAAGCTGGTGCAAGGGATCTATGTACAGTTGAGTTGCTGAGTGCAGTCACCTAAATTTCTTGGTTCAAAGAGCTGTTTTAACAAGAATAAATTATGCTAACTCTGTATGGCCCATTGAGCAAAGTATTGGGCTGTGAACTAGGAAACTGGCATTTAGTCACACTAATTAGATATTGCCCAATAACCTTTGATCAGTTGCTCCTTTGCTTATTCTGTCCCTGTGTTACGAAAGGGCATGGTATTACTTACATCTTACCTAGGCAGAAATGTTTTTGATTCAATAGAAAGTCTAATACTTCAGAAGTGACAAATGAAGTTAGTGATACTTCTCAGAGGCAGTAAGAGATGTAGGATAGAAGAAATTAACATTTTAAAATCAATTACCAACTGTGTGCCAGGCACTGCTAAGTGCTTTTCATATTTAATCCTTGTGGGGTGTAACTCAGTGGTGAAATGTATGAGGCCCTGGTTCAATCCCTAGCACTAGAAAAAAATTAAATTTATTCCTTGCTGTAGTCCTGTGATGAGGAAAAGCCTGTGTTCTTTCTACTGTGTTGTGCTGCTATTCGCTTTCTACTAATATCTTGAGAGAATTTGCCTGGTTATTATTTTTTTTTTTTAAGAGAAAGTTGTCATACAGAGTCTAAGGAGTGAAGATAAGTCAGAATGAAAGGTTGATCACTTTATTTGGGAGGCAGTAACAGAAAGCAGGGTTATCAGATTGATTTTTAGTCAAATCCTAGAGGCAAGCAAGGCCACTGGAATTTTTGTTGCTAATGGATGGTGCCTGGTGTGAGCCTTTTGGTGAGATGTTTGGTTTACCTTGTCCCTATTCACTGACCTATCACCTTGTCTCTCTAGGGTAAAGCCCACAGCCTGAAGCCAAAGGAGAAGCTGGCAGGCAGCCCAGTTCGCTCTTCTGAAGATGTAAGCCAGCGCGTCTATCTCTACGAGGGACTCCTAGGTGAGAAGTGGACTGGGAAGGCCCTTCACACTGAAAGAGAAAGTTGGGCTCAGCCAGAGGAGAGGGTAATACTGGCCAGTAGCTGCTTAGCTCTTTGCTGATCTCAATGTTAACAATGGATAAAATTTCATTTCTGAAGCAAGCAAATTATTGGATCTGGAACAAGCAGTAGGCGAAAACTAGATGAGATTGGATTTTGGCATTAATCAATAGCTGTCTTTCTGTCTTCCTTTCTTTACTTTCTTGCTGCCATGGTCTTTCCTGCTCACAATTGGCAGGAAGGGACAAAGGATCGATGTGGGACCAGTTAGAGGATGCTGCTATGGAGACCTTTTCTATAAGTAACCACTTTTCTTTGTGTGCTGTGTTCATGCTTCCTGCTTGGGAGGGACTGGGACTTACTCGGTAGCATCTGGGTCTGGTGGCAGGAGTGTTAGATCTGGGGTAGAGGTTCATGTTTCCCATGGATTGGAATCACTCTCTTTGGTCTGGGGTTTACTCTCTTTATTTTTGTTTGGCAGCTGTATTCCTTCAATGTTAAATATTCTCTAAAAAGTCTTTATTCTACACAGGCAAAGAGCGTTCTACTTTATGGGACCAAATGCAATTCTGGGAAGATGCGTTTTTAGATGCTGTGATGTTAGAGAGAGAAGGGATGGGTATGGATCAGGGTCCCCAGGAAATGATTGACAGGTATGAAGCTTGAAAAACCTGTGGGAGTGTGCAAATCCAGCCTTCTCCCTGTTAGTTCAGTGGTCTCCTACCTGAGGGCTGACTTTTGCCTGGTCTTCTGCTTAGGTACCTGTCCCTGGGAGAACATGACCGGAAGCGCCTGGAAGATGATGAAGATCGCTTGTTAGCAACCCTTTTGCACAACCTCATCTCCTACATGTTGCTGATGAAGGTAACGTTGATTTTGCATATGTCTGGCTGTTACTGATGTTGGAAGGGCGAGGTTTGTTCCTATTGCCTAAATTCAGGTGTTCTTGGGAAGCTATTAAAGCATTTTATGGGGAGCTGGGTGAGGTGGCGCATGCCTGTAGTCCCAGTGGCTCGGGAGACTGAGGCAGGAGGATCACGAGTTCAAAGCCAGCCTCAGCAACTTAGCAAGGCCTTAAGTTACTCAGTGAGACCCTGTCTCTAAATAAAATACAAAATAGGGCTGGGATGTGGCTCAGTGGCCGAGTGGCCCTGAGTTCAATCCCTGGTATCCCTGATAAAAAGCATCTTACGGGGGATCTCTTTCTGATTGAAAAGTTTGATTCCTCTCTATCAGTTTGCATAGGATCTCTTTAGCCGAAACTACCAGGATGTTATGCTAATGAGTGTTGTAAAGGTAATTGACCCTTTTATACTATGTTTATTTTGAATTTTATGTGGGCTCCCCTAAGTAGTCTTAGGATGCCAGTAGAGCTTCACACATAATACAATGGATTATTTATTTTTTAGTAGGTTCTAAAACCTTAGAAAGGATGCTCAGAATTTACTTTTCAGCAGCAGCCTGTTTTCATATAGGATTTTTCAACAACTATAAAAAGAGCTAGCCATTAGCAAAGTAATGTTTGATATGGTTGTGCTTGGATTTTATAGCTGTGGAAGAAGTATGGTTCCAGATGAAAAGTCCTGCTCTGATAGGGAAACATAATTTTGGGGTTGGTGGGTAGAAGAGAGTTGTTTGAGAATGAGTCCTTGAGAATAGCTTTCCTCCTGCTCTTCCCAGCCTCCTTAGATTTGAAGGGATCAGTTAATCAAATGCAGAGAATTTTGGGTTGCTCACTTTCTGTTGTAAGGTTCCCTCTACTCTGTTGAATTCCAGGGGCACCAGTTGACTGGTTGGGGAAAGATGGTGATTCTTAACCTTCAGAGGATCTCAGCTACTACAGTCTCAGAATTGCCATTCTGAGTCATTATTTCTACATTATGCTCTGAGGAGCCCTTTAGGGGTGAATGTTATCTTTTGGGGATGACAGGAAGTGTCCCCTTGAAGCCTGTCCACTCTCAGAGCCACTTTTTTGCAGGAGCTAACCAGAGATAGAACCAGGACTTTTCTCCCTGGTACATTGGCAGAACACCCAGTCAAAAGCATTCTCCCATGTTCAGAGATGTGTTCTTTCAGAATCCCACTTCTTTATACAAAATACATGTATGAAGATGTGAAAAAAAAAAGAAAAGCGTTACCTTAGATTAGGCAGAGAGAAGTGATGGGAGGGGAGGGGGGGAATGTGGGGATAAGAAAGATAGTAGAATGAAACAGACATTATTATTTCTGTGTGTATATATGTGACTGCATGACCAATATGATTCTGTAACCTGTACACTCAGAAAAATGAGAAATTATATCCCATCTGATTCAAATGTATGATATATCAAAGTCATTGTACTGTCATGTATAACTAATTAAAACAAATAAAAAAATAAAAGAATCCCACTTTCTGTCAGATAGGAGGAAGCTCACTTGTACATTCTTTTGTCTCTACCTCAGTTGAAAGTAGTAGAGCAGATCCTTTATTAACATTCTATCTTGGTTTTCCAGGTGAACAAGAATGACATCCGAAAGAAGGTGCGACGTCTGATGGGAAAGTCACATATTGGACTTGGGTATAGCCAGCAAATCAACGAGGTGCTTGATCAGCTGGCGAACCTGGTGAGCATCGCTCGACCCTCCCCTGGGCTCTCCTTTTGATCACTTGCCATCCTCCCCTCTAGGCTTCTGGCCTAATGCATAGGTTTCCCCAAGGCCATTTCTCATCTGTGTCACTGTGCAGTCCAGTTCAGCCCTAGTTTTGAGGATAAGACAGTAGTCTAGATGAGGTTTTAGCCCTTATGTTCTGTACTAGGATTCTGTACTGAAACTACCTAGTGCAGAAGTTTCTACATGTGATCTTTGGATTCCTGAGAATCTACAAAGTAAAAACTGTTTTCATTATGATAGTAAAATGCCTGTTTCCTGGCTCTACATTTTCACTGATGCTGCAAAAGCAGTGGTGTGTAAACTGCTGACGCCTTAACACCCTGACTCCAAACTGTGCTAGCCCAGCCTCACCTCCATGATCTGTCACTTGTGAATGTCCTTGATAAATCAATGAAAACCATTGCTTTTATTAAACCTCTTATCACTGATCATATGTCTTTAATATGCTGAGTTACAAAATGGGAAGTATGCATACTGTATTTCTGTTGATGAATGTTTTGAGGATAAACAGATTGAATTGCAAGATGAACTGTTAGCTTTGTTCATGGATCACTACTTTTACTTGAAAGAATGACTAACAAACTATGGTTATTCAGAATTGAGTATTTAGCAGACATTTTCTCCAAAATTAATAGAGGTGAGCCAGTTTAAAGGAAAACACTAGATAGTACTTTTACTAATGATAAGATTCAAGCTTACAAATGAAAATGAGTATTTTGGGCGATTTTTGAGCTTGAATTATCTCAATATTTTAAGAGATATTTTCTAATGAGATTGTTGATAACATTAATGAATTTTTTTTTTTTTTTTTACATTGTGTAATGAGAAGGATTTTACAAATACAGTGTGTGTGTGATACTACAAGTTCAAGCATGGATAAAAGAAGCACTGAAAATATAATCTAGACAGGTAGATTTTAGTGTAATACTATGAAATGCTCATTGATATGCTTTCTGGTTCTACCTAATGACTAACTTTTAAGAAACTGCTATTTTGGGGTTGGGGTTGGGGTTCAGTGGTAGCGCACTTGCCTAGTATGCGTGAGGCACTGGGTTCGATTCTCAGCACCACATACAAATAAATAAAATAAGGATTCATCAACAACTAATTAAAAAAAAAAAGAAATTGCTATTTTGAGTTCTGGTATAGTGGCAAAGAAGAGTATGCATATTTATCCAAAAAGGCTATTAAAATTCTTCTCCCTTTTCCAAACTGGTATGTGTAAAGTCAGATTTTCTTCATACACCTTAACCAAAGCAACATGTTATAACAGGGTGAGTGCAGAAGCAGATATGAAAATGTAGCTATTTTCTATTAAGTCAAATATTAAAGAGATTTGCAAAAATGTAAAACATGGTCACTCTTCATTTTTTTTGTTGTTGGGGAAAATATATTTTTTTAAAAAATATGTTATTTAGGGTTGGGGATGTAGCTCAGTGGAACAGAGCTTGCCTAGCACATCTGAGGCACTGCTAGGTCCGATCCTCAGAACACATAAAAATAAATAAATAAAATAAAGGTATTGTGTCCATCTTAAAAAAAAAAAAGATATGTTATTTATATTACCACATACTTGGTAGTTATTAATTATTTATTTTTAAATGAATTAATGGGGCTGGGTGTGTAGCTCAATGATAGAATGCTTGCTTAGTATGCTCAAGGCCCTAGGTTTAATCCCCAGCACTTAATAAAGAAGTTTATTAATTCTTTTTTTTTTTTTTTCATACCAGGGATTGAACTCAGGGGCACTCAACCACTGAGCCACATGCCCAGCCATATTTTGTATTTTATTTTAGAGACAGGGTCTCACTGAGTTGTTTAGCACCTTCCCATTGCTAAGGCTGGCTTTGACTCATGATCGTCCTGCCTTAGCCTCCTGAGCTACTGGGATTACAGGCGTGTACCACCTCACCTGGCCTAATAAACATTTTTTTAATTCCTAGTTTTAATTTCTAGTATGGTAGATATGACTTATATAAACAAAAGCTCTTTGGGATCTTTAGTAATTTTTTGTTCTTGTTTTCTGGGGATTGAACCCAGGCATGCTATAGCACTGATCTATACTCCCAGTCACTAAGTTGCTAAGGGTCTCTCTGAGTTGCTGAGACTGGCCTCCTGCCAGTCCTTCTGCCTCAGCCTAAATTTGCTAGCACATAGCGTAGAAATTCTTTTGTTTTTGCAGTATTGGGGATTGAACCCCGTGCCTGAGAGTACTAGACACTCTACCACTGAACTGTATTTCCAGTTTCAGTAATTTTTAAGAGGTATAGAAGTTCTGAGACCAAAAACTTCTTGAGCTGGGTGTGGTGGTGCACACCTGTAATCTTAGCCACTCGGGAGGCTGAGGCAGGAGGATCACAAATTCAAAACCAGCCTCAGGGGCTGGGGATGTTGCTCAAGCGGTAGCGCACTCGTCTGGCATGAGTGCGGCCCGGGTTTGATCCTCAGCACCACATACAAACAAAGATGTTGTGTCTGCCGAAAACTAAAAAAAATATATAAATATTAAAATTCTCTCTCTCTCTCTCAAAAAAAAAAAAAAAAAGAAAGAAAACCAGCCTCAGCAATAGCAAGGTGGTAAGCAGTGAGACCCTGTCTCTAAATAAAATACAAAATAGGGCTGGGAATGTCACTCAGTGATCGAATGCCTTTGAGTTCAATCCCCAGTACCCCCCGCCCCCCCCAAAAAAAAAGTTCTTGAACACTTACTTTCCTGGTGGCCAGGTGTTGAAAGATGAGATGATGTTAATTTAATTGCTGAACAGGATATTCTTGGCCCAGAGCCATGTATAAAAGGGATGTATGAATGTCCTAAAAATCTCTCTTTCCTCAGAATGGACGTGATCTCTCTATTCGATCCAGTGGCAGCCGACACATGAAGAAGCAGACATTTGTGGTGCATGCAGGGACAGACACAAATGGAGATATCTTTTTCATGGAGGTAGGTACTGGTTCATGCTGGGAACCCAAAGGAACATTTGAAAGACATAAGGAGCTCCTAGGACTGGTGCCAGAATAATTTTCCCATTTATCTTCATAATCCAGTTATTAAATTTTGCAAATAATTACGTTAATGTGATAGGTTTTTCCCCACCATTTCCTGTGTGTCTGTGTATTTTTTTAAATAGGTGATATAGTCACATTGTCCATGAAGTAGCATATATTGGGAGGTCTTACACTCATCCTGGTCCTCTTCTACTCAATTCCCCACTCACCTTTCCTCTTCATCCTGTAGGTAACAGCTTTTGTTGGTTTCCTTTGTATTTTCCAGTGTTTTTTATTATGCAAACAGATCTGGGGGTAAATTCTTATTTTTCCCTTTTCTTACAGTCAGATGCCGCATTATATTCACTGGTCTATACCAGTGTTTGTTTTTTTCATTAAATGTCATCCTGGCAGTCCTCTCTAACAGAACAAAGAGATTTCTTGTTCTTTCTATGTCCTTTTTCCCACTGTGTGATTGTGCCATAATTTATCTAGCCAGTCAGTACGTATTGATCCTTGTGTTGCATCCAGTTTGTGCTACTATGATTGACATTGTGCCTGCTTAATTTCATATATTGTAGTTGTGTCTGTAAGAATTCCTGGAAATGGGATTGCTGGACTAAAGGGACAGTACGTTTGTAAATTTGGTTGATATGACTGTTAACTACCTTTTAATATATTCTACCTGCTTGCTATTTATTTTGTTGAAGAAATTGAATCATTGGCTCTGTGGAGTAGCTCACATTTTAGACTTCTTGCTGATTGCATCTCCTTGCTGCTGTTTCTCTGTGTCTTGTATTTCTTACAAACTACTACCGCATTCTAGAGATTTGATCAGTTTTCAATTCAATATTTTGCTGGACACTGTGGCACACACCTGTAATCCCAGCAGCTCCAGAGGCTGAGGCAGGAGGATCATAAGTTCAAAACCAGCCTCAGAACTTAATGAAGCCCTGAGCAACTGAGTGAGACCCTATCTCAAAATTTAAAAATAAAGTAAAAAGGGCTGGGGATGTGGCTCAGTGGTTAAGCACCCCTAGGTTCAACCCCTGCTTAATTTCATACATTGCAGTTGTATCTGTAAGAGTTCCTGGAAATGGGATTGCTGGATTAAAGGGAAAAATATTTGTAATTTTGGTTGGTATGATTCTTTACCTTTTAATATATTTTAAAGTTAAATAAATAAAAATTAAAAATTTTTTTAAATCAATATTTTGGCAAGAATACTTCCTAGATGGTGCTATATAGTTACTTCCTGTGGCCTCACAGGGTCCTCTCTTATGGTTCAGATGTGGGCAGCCTAAACCAGCCACTGTAAAGTACCTCATTTGTCTCCTGGTTTTATGTATGATATTTTTTTTGCATGTAAAAATATTTTATTTATTTATTTATTTTTTTAATTTATTTTTTAGTTTTCAGTGGGCACAATTTTATTTTTATGTGGTGCTGAGGATCGAACCCAGTGCCCCGTGCATGCCAGGCGAGTGCGCTACCGCTTGAGCCACATCCCCAGCCCAAAATATTTTATTTTTATGTAAATTAGTTAACAGAATGCTTTTATGGCTTTGGATTTTGATTAATAATTAGTAAAAGCATTCTCCACTCCAGTATTTTCATGGAAATTGACTGGTTTTTTTTTCATTTCCATGTTTTTGGTTTTTGGTACTTGTGATTGAAGCCAGGTTCTTCTGCCACTGAACTACATCCTCAGCTCTTTTTATTTTATTTTGAGACAGGATCTTGCTAAGTTGCCAAGGCTGGCCTTGAATTTGGGAATCCTCCTGCCTCCTAAATTGCTGGGATTACAAGTGTGGGCCATCATGTTTGGCCAGAAAAGATCTATTTTTAGAATAAAAAACATGGAAATTCCCCAGGCCGTGGCTCATGACTATAATCCCAGCAACTTTAGAGACTGAGGCAGGGGGATTCCAAGTTCAAGGCCAGCCTGGGCAACTTAACTAGACTCTGTCTCAAAGTAAAACAATAAAAAGGGCTGGGCTTGTAGCTCAATGGTAGCATGCCCCTGGTTCAAGGCCCAGTACTGCAAAAATAAATTAAAAATAAAATAAAATGGGGGCTGAGACTGTAGCTCAGTGGTAAAGCGCTTGCCCCGCAAGTATGAGGCACTGAGTTCAATCCTCAGCACCACAAAAAAAAAAAAATATACTATGTGTTCATCTACAACTAAAAAATATACATTAAAAATATTTAAAGGGCTGGGTTTATGGCTCAGCGGCAGAGCGCTTGCCTAGCAGGTGGGAGGCCTTGGGTTCGATCCTCAGCACCACATAAAAATAAATAAATGAAGATATTGTGTCCAACTTAAAAAAATATATATTTTAAAAAATATTTAAAATAAATAAATTGATAAAATAAAAATAGAACTCATAAGTAATTTTAGAGACTGGGTACAACTTCTATGTAAGTTATTAAAATTAAACAGTCTACATGTTGTCTGTTCCCTTTTGGTTTAGTTGAATTTGATTTTTGAACAGGTTGTTCACCAAACACAGGAGTGTATACTCTGGAATCAGGAGGGTATGTGTCAGTGTGTCTGAGAAGAGAGTCATTTTCATGTCACCATTTGAGGTGTAAGAATTTGGTTGGGAGTTTCTCCGAGTTGAGGACTAATTTAAGACATTTGCACCACAGTAGAGGTGGCAGGTGATTCTTTTCTTTTTCTCTTAAATATAGCCAAGTCATTGTGGTGGCACATACCTCTGATTCCAGCTACTTACGGGGATGAGGTAAGAGGATCACAAGTTCAAGACCAGCCTCAGCAACTTAGGGAGACCCTGCCTCAAAAATAAAAAATAAAAAAGACTGCACTGTATAGCAAGCCTCATGCTGAGTCTCTGGAGTTGGGGCAGGATGCCTTACCCTCCTACATGCCTCTGCTTTGAAGTGTTGCCATGGCAAGGAAGAGAGCACATTGGCCACCCTGTCACCAACTGACTACCAAGAGGCTCTGAGCCTTTCTCAGCACAGTGAGCTGGCCACACCATCAGACAGCAATTTGGGAAGACTTTTTTAAATTATTAAATGCCAGGTCCAGTGGCACATACGGTATAATCTCAGCAACTCAGGAGGTTGAGGCAGTATGATTGCAAGTTCAAGGCCAGCCTCAGCAACTTAGCAAAACCCTGTCTCAAAATAAAAAGATAGGATGGGGATGTGGCTTTGTGGTTTAGCACCCCTAAATTCAACCCCAAATACCAAAAAAAAAGTTTAGTGTGAATCCTTTAAGATTTTAAAAATTGCATATTTGTATAAATACAACTTATTTGCTTAGAATTAATAAAAGTGGTATTAAACCACCAACATTAATGTATAATTTTTTCTTTTTGTTGTTGTTGTTTGTTTTGCAGTGCTGAGGATTGAACCAAGGGTCTCACCCACTCTAGGCAAGTGCTCTACTAACTGAGCTACTACATCCTCACCCCACAATTTACTTTTTTGTTGTTGTTGTTACCAGGGATTAAACTCAGGGAACTTAACCACTGAGCCACATCCCAGCCCTTTTATATATTTTATTAGAGACATGGTCTCGATGAGTTGCTTAGGGCCTCACGAAGTTGCTGAGGCTAGGTTCGAACTCTACATCTTCCTGCCTCAGACTCCTGAGTGGCTGGGATGACAGGCATGCACCAACATACCTGGCTCACAATTTGTTTTTTTTCCACTTAATATATCATGAACATCTTTCCATGGTTTATCATTTTGTTTTGTTGTTTGTTTTTGTTTTTTCAGTCCTGGGCATTGAACCCAGAAGTGCTCTGTTTCTGAACAACATCCTCATTTCTTTTTTCTCTTCTTTTCTTTCTTTCTTTATTTATTTTATTTATTTATTTATTTATTTTGAGACAGTGTCTTGCTGAGGCTGGCCTCAAATTTGTGATCTTCCTGCCTCAGTCTCCCAGGTCACTGGGGTTACAGGTGTGTATCATTGTGCCTGGCCATCTTTCTACATTTTTAAGTGGATGCTTAGCCATTTTGGTATTATACAGCTATACCATAATTTATTTAACTAGTGCTTCCCACTGTTTTTTTTTTTTAACATTGCTTCATTGAATATCCTTGAACATATATTTCTGCACACTGATGTGAGAATTTCTATAGAATATATTCCTAGACATGAAATTTCCAGATCAAGCTTATATATATTTAAAATTTTAGTAGAGTCTGCCATTTTGCCATCCCAAAGACTACCAGTTTACATTTCCACTAGCAGCATAGGTGGACTGGGAGTCCTACTGGCCTAGAACCCATTTCTAATTCTTACTCTGCCATTCTAATCGCCCCACCCCCACCTTTTTTGCTGGCAGGGGTGGGGGGGGCGTTATTGGTGGATTGAATCCAGGGGCTTTCTACTGCTGAGCTATATCCCTAGCTCTTTTGAGACAGGGTCTAAGTGCTGAGACTGGCCTGGAACTTGCCAACCTCCTGCCTTAACTTCCTGAGTAGCTGGGATTACAGGTGTGTGCCACTGTACCTGGCTCAGTCCTTTCTTTAGAAAGCTTTTAGAACTCCAGTAATCTCTTATGTAGGAGTTTAAACCTGATAGTCTCATGTATTCCTTACTCACTGACCTGATACTTATGAAGCACTTAATATATGCTAGGCACTGTGTTGAGTGTGGATTATAGTAGTAAATATGACTGTTGCCCTTCTAGAGTTGACAAACCATTGGAGAAGTTAAATAACTAAACAAAGAATGTTGTAGAATGAGCTTTATAAGACAAAATGTTTGGGGGGCAGGAGTTATGGGAATATGTAGTAGAGACTGTGGGAATTGTGGACAACCCCTCTGAAGAAGTGATCTTTGATCATACACTTGAAGGAGGAATAAGAGTGACAATTACAGTGAGGGAAGGGAAGAGCAGTCCAGTGATATTCAAGATGGAATGATGGGATTCAATGATGGATGTAGTGATAGGGAAAAGGAAAGATTTATGCATCACTTGTTCATTTCTGGCTTGAGCAGTAGGGTGAATGATGGTGTCATTTATGGCAGTAGGGGACTTAGAAGGAAGATCTGTCCAAGAGAAGATGCTGAATTCAGATTTAGACAAGGTGAGTTTGAGGGGCTGCATATGAGGTATCCACATAAAGACAGGTCAAGAGCTCAGGAGGCCAGGCCTCATATGGAGAGATTTAAGAACCTTCAAAGCTGGGTTTGGTGGCACACTCCTGTAATCCCAGCAGCTTGAGAGGCTGAGGCAGGAGAAGTGTGTGTTCAAAGCCAGCCTCCGCAACTTAGCAAGGCCCTAAGCAACTTAGTGAGATCTTTTCTCAAAAAAAAAAAAAAAAAGCAGGGCTGGGGTTGTGGCTTAGCCTTGCATGTGTGAGACCCGGGTTCGATCCTCAGCACCACATAAAAATAAATAAACAAAATAAAGATATTAAAAAAGGGGGGGGGCTGGGGAATGTGGCTCAGTGGTTAAGCTCCCCTAGATTCAATCCCTGCTACCAAAACAAAACAAAAACCCATCAACGTGGCAGTAATAATAATTATATTTCTTATGTTATTATAGCAGCTAACTGGGGTACTTCTATGTGCCTCACACATTAAGATTTTTATATTGCCAGGCACAGAGGCACATACCTATAATCCCACTACTCAGGAGGCTGAGGCAGAGGATTGCAAGTTCAAGGTCAGACTCCACAACGTAGCAAGACCCTGTCTCAAAATAAAAAATCAAAATGGCTGGGCATATGGTTCATTGGTAAAGTGGCCTTGAGTTTGATCCCCAGGACTGACAAAAAAAAGAAAGAAACAGGCTGGCAGTAGAACACCCATGGCTTATTCCCTTCTCTCTCTCTCTCTCTCTCTCTCTCTCTCTCTCTCTGTCTCTGTCTCTGTCTCTCTCTCTTTCTCACACACACACACACACACACGCACACCACAAATGCCCATTAACTAACTCATTTAGTCTTCACAGTGGCTCTGTGCAGTTGTTACTCTTATGATCCTTACCTTATACATGAGGAGATGTAGATAGGTAAATTTGCTCAAGGTGACACAGCCAGACAATGGGAGAGATGGAATCTGAACCCAGGTGGTCGGGGCTGAGCAGAGCTCAATGATGGAGCACTTGCCTAGCATGTGTAGGGCCCTGGGTTGGTCCCTCATACTGCAAAACAGCAAACCCCAGGCAGTCTGACCATAGACCTGCGTTCTAACCAGTATGCTGTAATATTCCCCACAGTAATTAAAGCGTTGAGAACAGATAAGTCTACCTGAGGAAACTGTTGTACAAGAGGAGAGCGTGAAGGGGACTTTGCTTTTTAACTTATATCATCCTATACTGAAATAATTTTTATGCTATAAGCATTGTTCATGTGTCATGTGTGTAATTCATTTTATTTAATTATTTTTTGTGTGGTACTGGGGATTGACCCCAGAGGTGAACCGCTGAGCTACATCTCCAGCCTTTTGAGACAAGGCCTTGCAAAGTTGCTTGAGCTGGCCTCAAACTTTCAATCCTCCTGCCTCAGCCTCTAGAATAGCTGAGATCATAGGCATGTGCTACCATGCCCAGCCTATGTAACTCATTTTAAAAGATATTTTTATAGGATTAGGGCAGAGCCAGGATTAGAAAATATATTAGCTCCAGTTTTTTCTCCTTGGTTAAGTCTGCCATAATCACCTGCCTTTGTGTCTGTCAACAGAGCTGAATCCTATACACAGCCATGAGAAGACATGCACGCCTGTAATCCCAGCAGTTTGGGAGGCTGAGGCAGGCGGATCACAAGCCTCAGCAACTTAACGAGGCCCTAAGCAACAAAATAAAAAGGGCTGGGATGTATTTCAGTGGTTAAACACCCCTGGGTACAATCCCTGGTACCAAAAGGAGAAAAGGAAAAAAAAAGGAGGCAGCATTCAATGTCCTCTGAACACTTTGTAGAGGGTAGAGGAAGTATTATACACCCATGGCCTTGAGAGTAGGCCTCCTTCCTTGTGCACAGGATCCTTTCGGTGACTCCATTTCTTTCAATGGAGTCTAGAATACTTTACATCCAGCAGTTCTGTGTCCCCACCTAGATATGAGGCAGAAAACCTGGCATGGCAGCTCCCGGCATCAGTGTTCCCATTCTTCCCTGTGGGAAACATGCCATGTGGCCTGGGATGGAAGAGTCTGTCAGAGAGCAGACCCACTGAGCTCTTTGTGCACTCCTCCAGGTGTGCGATGACTGTGTGGTGTTGCGGAGTAACATCGGGACAGTGTATGAGCGCTGGTGGTATGAGAAGCTCATCAACATGACCTACTGTCCCAAGACCAAGGTTTTGTGCTTGTGGCGTAGAAATGGCTCTGAGACCCAGCTGAACAAGTTTTATACTAAGAAGGTACACAGGGTCTCTGGGTTGGGGATCGGATAGGCGTCGAGGGCCAAGTATTGAGCATCTCTCTGGGAAGTTAAAATTCCAAACTCCATGCCCCCAGCTGTTGTGTGGGATAAATAAAGCTGTCCCTGAGTCCTGGCATTGGCCTCACCCTCCAGCAGCCATCCAAGAGCAGGGGGCAGTGAACCCTGAAGGCTGCTATGACAGGGTGCTCTCTCCCCTTGTGCCACAGTGTCGGGAGCTGTACTACTGCGTGAAGGACAGCATGGAGCGTGCTGCTGCCCGACAACAAAGCATCAAACCCGGTGAGGAGAGGACACTCCCTGAGAGTGCTGGAGGCCTGGCCAGGAGCCGGGCTGCAGTGAGCTGACCGCCTCACTGGTTAGCTGATAACCTCCTTCCTCACTGCAGGGCCTGAACTAGGCGGCGAGTTCCCCGTGCAGGACATGAAGACAGGCGAGGGTGGCTTGCTGCAGGTCACCCTGGAAGGGATCAATCTCAAGTTCATGCATAACCAGGTAGGTGCAAGCAGCAGCACAAGGCTACCTGGCCCTGTTGTTCCACCTGCAATAAGGATCAGTGGCCAGGTCCCAGTGCTTTCCCAGTGAGCACGAAGGGAGTCTTGGACCAGAGGGAGGATTGGACAGCTGGCCGAGAGAGAAATCAGAGGGAGGGCACAGTGACCTTGGTGAGACCACCAGGCTCCGTGAAGGTGCAACAGGGAGCCTGTGGGGAGCTGGGACAGAGCATGAGGTGTGGTGGCCGTGCCACCCCTTCCATTAGACTCACACAGTGTGAGTGGGAGCGTCTCACTTGGCCCTCTGCGTGTCTCTGCCTTCCTGTGTTCCCAGGGTGTGCTTCGCTCCGTGGTTTTGCTTTGGGAGTCTAGACTGGCTCATCTCACGGATTTCTGGTGTGTGCGTGTGGCCTCTCTGTCCTCTAAGCGTGTGTGTTCATTGCTTTTTCTTTCTGCTGATTCTTCTGTTCTTTTTCTTCCTTTGAGTGTTCCCACTCTGGGACCTATTCCCCAGGCCCCAGGCCCCTCCCTTTGATGGAGAGCACTTCAGGATCATCTTTCCCTCTTTGTGACTCCACCCCGGAGCTGACTGTTTCCCTCTCTCGGTCTTTTAACACGATGCTAACTTTTTCTCTCAGTGGACATTCATTAAGCTAATTCCCTCTGAGGCCAGCGCGACATCCCAGGTCCGTTCCCGGCTCTGACTCTTCACCCAAGTGCCTTTCCTCCCCTTCCCTGATGTCCTCTTCCCGAGGCTCTGAGCCAGATCCCAACATGAGGCCCCACAACCCCTGGCCAAGCAGCAGACACTCAGGGGAGGTGGACATCAACTGCCATGGCTCTCTCCATCTGTTCGCCAGTTTAGTTCTCACTCTTCAGAGTCTAGCTGGGAAGATTGGGGTAACAGAAACGGCTGCGCAGGCTTCCTGCAGCCCCTGAGTGTATTTCCAGTCTGGGGCCTGGACTGGCAGTAGCCCTAAAGACCTGAGAATCAGCCCATCAGCCCAAGGAGGGGATTAATCAAGTACTTTCTGACCACAAAGGTCCTGGCACTTCCTGGGGAGGGTCTTCTGACCACATTTCAGTGTTGCGGCCTCCCCTTCTGAAGACAGCTCTTGTTAAACTACCCCCAGATGCTCTGCCTATCTCCTTGTCCTACCCTTGGGGCGCCCCCTGGGTACACCATGTAGTATGACATTTACTAGCCTACACCGACTGCTTAGTGGTGAAAACTGAGGTCCCTAGAAGAGGCATTGTAAGGAGAGCAGGAGTGAAGGCTGTGACTCTTGGGTCCGACCTCACAGTCTGATAATGGGGAAGTGACCTGCAGCCGTCTTTTGCTGTATAGCAGGCAGTTGGGGTAGAGGAAGCGCCAGACCCTCCCAGCAGTGTTTGGGAGAAGTACAGACTTGGAGTCAAGATGTGCTTGGATCTGAAGTTCAGCTTCATTATTCATGGGCAATATGCTTTTTGATCCTGTTTCCTCATCTGTAAGATGGGGGCAAACTGTGGGCCACCCAGAAAGCCATAGGAGTAGTGTTCGTAAACCTCCCAGATGGTACTCAGCAAGCTGCTGCTGTTGTCACCACACACTCTTGGGAGGTCCTGGATCCTGTGTCAAGGAAGATACCAACACCTCCCACCCCAAGGACAGTCTGAGGGAAGCTTTGTGCCCGTGCCAGCCCTCTGCGCCGGAGGAGGATGTATGGAAGGGTGGAGACCTATGGGCTGAGATGGGGGACGCCGGGGGCACTGTGTCCTATGAGCACTGCCCTGGGTAGAAGGTATGGGTGGGCAGCCCAGGCCAGCAGAAGGGCCTCTGGGTTGGGTTTGACCATTAAAACTAACGCCTTCATTTCTCTCCCATGCTTTCTCCTCCGGCCAGGAGCGGAAGGTACATGCCCTTTCTGCTATCTTCGCTTCTTAGCGCTTTTGACTGTGTGTGTGTGAATTCTTCTGTCCTCCCTTTGGGAGCTAGGTTTCCTGTGTGGGGGTGGGGCTGAGGCTGGGAGAGTGGGCTCTGCTGGGCAGGGGTGGAGCCTCTGGGCCTTACCCCGCCCTCCCTCCCTCTCTTGCAGGTTTTCATAGAGCTGAATCACATTAAAAAGTGCAATACAGTTCGAGGCGTCTTTGTCCTGGAGGAATTTGGTAATTACACTATTTTGCTCTTAGGTCTGGACTCACATGGCAGTAACTCAAACCTTGGAGCTCCAGAGAAGGGACTAGGGGCAGGGAGAAGACCACCTCTGCAGAGGAGAGGAGGAGCAGAGTGACAGGGAGGAAGGAGCCCTCAGGAGAGAGGGAAGGAGGAGGAAAGCAGAGCAGCAGCCACAGGAGAGCGAGGGGCTTAGGCCGGTTTAGAGTCTAGACGCAGGCAGAGGCTCAGCGACGTTAGCACCACTTTCCCTTGCTCTGCCGGCCAGTGGTCAGAAAGTTCTGGGGCAGAGCAGACTGGCAGTTCCTAAGCTCTGTTGTGTCCATGTCGCCTGCTGCCATCTCTAGCTGCCCAGCGCTCCACCAGCCTCCCTGGCGTTGTTCTGCCCTCTGCCTAGCCTCCGTGCTAGAGGGGGTGTGGGGAGTGGCAGGCAGACTCACCAAGGGACAGAGAAGCCTAGTGGGCCTCGAGGCAGAGGGGCAGTCATAGGGAAAAGCTGTAGCCGGCCGCCCTGGCAGCACTGAGGAGAGGTGTAGCGGTCCTCCCGGGGGCTTTGAGTTCCTGCTGTGTTTGTGCTTCATTCTTTTGTGCCCCTCATCGCTGCTATGAAAACCTTCGTTCTCCAGCAGGTAAAGTGACCTCGGCTCGTGCTGCCTCCCAGGCCCCTGCCTCGGGCCCTGCAGGGGTGGGCGGGCTCCCTTCAACCAGCCGGCTGCTCACATTGCCAGTTTGTCTCTTCCTTTCTCTTCCCGCCTCTTCCTTTCCACCCCCTCGTGCTGGCTCACTCTTCCAAGTTCTCTCCCTGCTGTGCTCCCTTCTCTCTTCTGCCCGAGAGATGTGTGGGGACTCTTCCAATTTAGGAGAATGACCCAGGGCTTCTTGCTCTAAGGAGTTCAGTCCCTGCTAACCCTGGGTGCCCGAATTCTACCTCCCAGGGTCAGAAGAAGGTGTGGCCAACTCTCATCCGACTTTGTCTGGCCTCCAGGGGATGCCATGTCCCTCCTCCCAGTCTCAGTGATGGCTGGACCTGGGGGCCCTACTCCTTCCTCTGGCCAAGCAGAGCCCCTGCATGGTTGGGGCACGGGGACTCCTAGCCTTGCATTCTGGGCTGTGGACATGTGTGTATTTGCCTGATGCTCCCTGTCACCTCCCTTCCCGGGTGCTGTACTCGCTGTCTCCTGCTCAGTGTGTCTGCTCCAGAGCCCTCTGACGCTCTCCCTCACACAGGCAGGCCTGGGCTTCTCATGTCACTCAGAGAAGGACACTTCCAGATCTTATGGGTTTAGTGTCATGTTCCTTCTTCATCCAGCCTCAGGACCTCTGTAGGGGCTGGCAGTGAAGGGGACTATGTTTAACATGAGACTTGCGGGCTGGTGTCAGGGCTGAGTTCACAGGCACCTCAGCACGGTGAGGCAGAGGCTAGCGACCATTTCTGCCCCACTGCAGCTCCACAGGGGCCTGGACAGCAGCCAAGGCTGGAAAAAGGCCAGCCTCTGCCACCCGGGCTCCCAAAGAAGTGGGTGGACACAGCCATCAAGTAAAAAGCCACTGCAGACTTCAGAGGACTAGCCGAGGAGTCTGGCTGGACAGAAGCCTCCCGTAGCCTCTGCTCTGTCGTAGCCTTAGCTGCTACAGCCACTGTGAGAGGCCACAGAGGGAAAGGGGACCCTGGTGCCGGGCGCCGCCGCCTAGAGACTGGCACTGTCGCTCTTAGTTTTGAACTTTCTGTTTTGTCTCTTGCCTGTCCGGTTTTAGTTCCTGAAATTAAAGAAGTGGTGAGCCACAAGTACAAGACACCAATGGTGAGTATGCCACCCCAGCCTGGTGGCCACAGTGCACAGGGCTCCCTGGGGACCTAGGACAGGAGGGGTGGGCTCTCTTGGGGACTTGGTCAAGATGCAAAGATTCAACTGAAGCAGGAACAAGTCTGCCACCCTGGGAGATAAACACACACGTGCTGATCCCTCTCCCAGCAGGACACACACGAGGTCTGGCCTGGGGCTCCTGGAGCCCAGAGGCCGTGCCCAGAGCTAGGGCAGGAGCTGCCTGCCTGGCAGACCCTCCACTGTGCAGTTTGGGAGTCTCAGTGACTGATCTCCCTGTTTTCCTGTCCTCTGTAGGCCCACGAGATCTGCTACTCTGTGTTGTGTCTCTTCTCGTATGTGGCTGCAGTCCGTAGCAGTGAAGAGGACCTCAGAACTCCGCCCCGGCCTGTTTCCAGCTGATGGAGCAGGTGAAGCAGCTGGCCCATCCCAGGGCTCACCCCTTGCCTCCTGCTGCTCCCAAGTGCACCAAGTGACCGTGACTGAGAAGGGGATAATGGGTGTACGTTCTGCCAGCCCTGCGCTGTGGCTTCGCTGGTCCCCAGTTATACGTCTTTTGAGTGTGTCTTTGCGTGTGTCTGTGACAGAGCTAAGCTAGTCCCTTCCACCTTCTCCCTGTCCTTACCCAGAAGACCAGCCTACTGTTCCCTCAGGGCTCAAGAGTGTGTTGGGGGGAACAGTGTGAATCCACCCTTGCGTGTCCTTGAGACATTGTGTTGTGGTTCCTCGTCCTCGGCATCATGATCCTCCAGTGCAGGATTCCTGCTCCCCGTCCTCTGTGATCTAGCATGACAGGGCGCCTTGGGCAGTTCCACTCTGGGCAGTGAGGGAAACCTGGCCTGCCCTTCCAGACGAGGGGTGGGCAGGAAAAGGAAAGCAAGAGGCTGGGGCAGCTGGAGTGAGTGGCAGCCTCCCAGCTTCCCTGTGCATTTCCCAGTGGCAGCTCCTACCTGTGGCCATGAGCTCTGCTGCTGCCCACCACAGCTCCATTGCCACCGCGGGGCAGCACTGAGGGGCCACTGTGTGCCGAGCAGCGATTTTCCTATGGTCAGCCTGGCCTTTGGCATGAGAAGACAGAGTGATTGGGGCAATAGAGTCCCAGAGACCGCTGGCTGCTCTGCCAGACACCAGGGAGAGGCGGCCAGGACCAAGTTCATTGTACATGCCCGTATGAGGCAGTGTCTCCTGGTGTCAGGTGCCAGGAGAGAAAGATGGCCTGGGGGTGGGGGGATGATTGTAAATATCTCAGCTCCTCGTTATTTATAGAAAATGTACAGCTGTGTGAATGTGAAATAAATGTCCTTAACTCCCCTGGTCCTTGGTTGCCTTGCATTAAATGACACCTCTCAGCCCGGGCTTGAGGAACCTTGTGTTAAATGATGCCTCCTCTTGGCCCAGAGCTGAAGAGGCTGTCCCTGGACTCTAAGAAACCACCATGGAGTAAAAGAATGAAGGAGATAAGGTCATCCATGACCGGGCACTGGTGTATGAGGCCCCGGCTCCTGCCTCCTGCTCTCTGGGCTTGGGATCCCAGAGAGAGGCTGTGGGAGGAAGCTCCTTTTTCCTGCAGTACCAGGGGGCCCTGTGGGGGCTGGGACGCTGTGAACTGTCCACTAGAGGGAGCAGCCAAACTGGTCATTGATACGTGAACAAATTAATTTAACAATGACAGAAAAGCCAAGCCCATGGTCCCCTGTCCCCTAGAGTCCAGAGAGATACTGTGACATGGCCTGGGCCACTCTGGGCTCTTGGCCAGCATTGTGTCTCCCGTGGGTTAGAACGCTAAGAAACAACCCCAGGACCAGCCTTTGTGAAATTTCTATGCCATGGGGGAAACTGGCACTCCCTCACTGCCAGGCCACCTCTGAGACCTGCTAGATTCCCCCTCCAACAGGGAAACAGGCCTGATGGTGCTGACGCTCCTGGCCCTTTCCCCGCCTGCTTCCCAGCGTCCCGAACTGGATAGGCCCCGTCTCCCACATGAGTGACAGTTGGGGATGGGCTCCTTGCTCACTGTGACGCCAAAGCAATCTGTCAGCTCTCCTCACAGGCCTCGTGGGCACAGAACTTCATTAGGCTGCACAGTGCCCCAGGCCCAGGGTTCTGGGAAGGAAAGCCTGGGTCCAGCCATTACTGCCACCTTCCTCACCACAGCCTGAGTTGCCTCAGCTGAGGAGTGAATGCCTGAGGGAGGACCAAGGTCCCTCTTATGTGTTTTATAGATTCAGGATTCCACTGTGGGCTTTGTGTCATCATCGGGGAATTAGAATACCTGCCAAGATCAAGTGCATGCCCCTATGTATTTCTGTGAAAATAAGCACACGGGGCAAGAAGAGTCAGTCCCGTGACTGCACTGGTCTTTTATTGCTCTCATACGTGGAGAAGATGTGCCCTCCTGAAGGGCCTACTCCCAATCACCACTTCCTAAGGCTACCCACTTTTTACCCCAGAGATCTGAGAGCTCCCTCAGCAGCTATCAAAGTTTCCTCTGTGCAGAGCCCACTAGGCTTGCCCACCTAACTGCTGCCCTTCCTGTCCCTCCCTAGTCCAGCCCAGAGTACACACACACACACACACACAACAGCAGGAAGACGGCTCCTCCAGCGCCTCTCCAGGCTCCTGGCACGTGGGCTGGCATCCGGTTGTACCTGTGACACAGGCTCCCTTTAAGTAGACAGGTTTCCTGATGGCCACCCCTGGACCAGGGGCCAAGGCTCAGCTTCTTACTTGAGCCCTGGGTGTTAGGGTGGTCTGAAATACGTACCTGGCTGCCCCTGGGAGCCAGCCTGGTCACTGAGGCACTGTAGGAGAGAAGGAGCCCATGCCACCTGAGTCTTCCCAGTTTTTCAGAAGTCAGGACCCATCAGACATGACAGGGCCAGTACTCTGAGAGTCAGAGGAAGCACTTAGGCCAGAATGGCCGAGTCGAGCCCAGGTTCCCCACCCCTGCCCTGCTTTCTGCACCTCCAAGGCTCTGGGTAGGCTTAGGGAGTGATGATTGGGAGCAGGCCCTTCAGGCTCCTCACCTCTCACCTCCAGACGGCACTCACACTGTGCCTCGCCCTGCAAGTTGGTGGCCCTGCAGACATAGACACCCCCGTCAAAGGGGCAGGGCTTTCTAATCTCCAGGGTCAACACTCCCTGCTTGCTGAACATGCGGAAGCGGGCATCTTCTCCCAGGTCCAGGCCATTCTTGAACCAGGAAATCTTGGGCTGTAAGTCAGGTAAGGAGAGGGAAGAAGGGAGAGAGGGAGGGAGGGAGGGAGGGAGGAAGAGAAAGCATCTCAGGCAAGAGGGGACCAGACAGGAACCCCAGGCATTGCTCTGGGGGCTTCCACTGGAGTCCCAAACTACTCCCAAGGCTGGGAATGAACCTGGAGCCAAAGTGAGTACCAAGGGGAAGGAAGCTGATAGGTCCCTGGGGGAGCAAAGGCAGAAAGAGGCGGGCTGGGGAGAGGACCCTGCCTCCTGGACCAGAGCCCCCAGTCCCTACCTTGGGGCTACCCCGGACAGCACAGCAGAGGACAATGTTGTAGCCCGCGATGACTGAGCGGTTCGCCAAGGGATGGGTGAAGCTAGGAGCCTCAGAGAAGTCCAGGGCCTTGTATTTGGGTGGCTCATATGTGATGCCTGTTGGTGATAGGACTAGTACCAAGAGAGCCACCTCAAGCTAGGCTTCCCTCCCTACACAACTCCCCTGGGGTGGGAGTGAGGGTACAGCACCTGGTCTGGGGATAAAGACAGGCTCCTTGGTGGTGGCTGCCCTGTCGCTAGGACCCACCATGTTATGGCTGAAGACCCGGAAATAGTAGCCATTGCCAATGATGAGCTCGGACACCACACAGTGGGTACGGCGGTAATGCTCCAAGACAGTGAACCATTCCTGGGGGGCAGGAGACAAGGGAGGGATCTCTGGGTCCCCCCTGCCAGGGGTCTCTTGGGAACCCCTGGTGACTCTGCCCCTACTGTGAAGGGAGCCAGATCAGCAGAGGTGAAAGGGGACAAGTGGTAAGGACAGGGAAGGACAGCTGGACCTCAGGATGACCCATGGGGCCTAGGCTCACCATGGTCTTCTTGTCAGCTTTCTGTACTGTGTAACCCCAGATCTCTGTGTTGCCATCATCTTGGGGTGGCTTCCACTCCAGAGCCACATTGAAGCCCCAGGCCTCAGTGACCCGAATATCCTGAGGAGGACTTGGTTTGTCTGCAGGAGACAGATCTGGTTGGATCACTGCACCTTCTGATGCTGCCTGAGCAAGAGCCGGTGGCACCAGCCCCTGGGAGTCCCTCCCTCTGCCAGCCAGGACCTGGCCGGCCACCTTCAGCAGGGATGGAAAGTGGGATGCTGTGGGTTGAGTCTCCAGGCCTGGCCTGGGCCCCACAGCCCAGCTCAGGCATGAGAGACAACTGGGCTCAGAGGAAGGTCCCGGGGCCACGCACCCACGATCTGCAGGACCAGCGTGGCCTTGTCCTCCATGTTCTCGATGCGCACTGTCACCTGGTAGGTGCCTGAGTGCATGCGGTGGGCAGCCCGAATGAACAGGATGGTGTCCGTGGGGCTGTTGCGGATGCTCACCTCCTCGCCTGCCAGTGGCTGCCCCTCTTTGGTCCAGGTCACCTGAGGCCGGGGCTTGCCCTAGTGGGAAGGACTGCTTAACCCTGAACTGGCTCTCTCCAAGGGCTGGCCACTACCCCAGCCTCAAGTACATGGATGAGGCCACCGGGTCTGGTCAGTCTTGAGCCATCCTTCTGTTGGATGTGGATAACACAGTGTCCTCTCCCCTCAGGGACAGGGAATGGGGCCAGCCTACCTGAAAAGGAATGAGGAGGTTCACAGGCTCCCCGACCTTCTTCTGGATGGTCTGGCGCAGGTGCCTGGGCAGCTGAAGCCGTGGCCGTTCTTTAGGTACAGAGGGGGTGTCTGAGCAAGGGCCCTTAATGGCCCCAGCCCTAAGGGGCTCCAAGCCCATTCTCTCTTGAGGTCGGGCCCAGATGGCTGCAGCTAAGAAAAAGCTGCCTGCTGGGCGGAGCAACCCAAATCCGCTCAGCCCCAAATGATTCACAAAACTCCTGCTTCCCTTGAGCTTTACCACACTGCTTCAAGAGGCAGGAATCAGAAAGGGTAAGCAACTTGTTTGAGGCTGCACAGCTGATAAATCACAGGTTTTGAGACACTCTGCTCTCTGCTGCCTCTTTTCCATCTAGAGAACCAATTCTTACATGATTGATCCTTTGTTGGGACAAGGAATAGAGGAATAGGAAGTGGATCCCAGATGACCTTATCTGATCCCAAGGCCCAGTGCCTAGTCCTGGGGACATGGACAATACATTCCTGTTGGAGATGAGGAACTCACAGCACAGAGCTTGGAGATTGTGGCCTATATTCTCCCTGTTCTAGAACTGGTGGGCTGACATGGAAAAAACAGGACCATTAGACATGGATGAAGGCCTGGCCCCTCCTCTGACAGTCTCCCTGACTGTTCCCACAGGACATCAAGGGCCTGGAGTGTCAGTAGCAGGTCTTGTGACGAGTGGCACTCACGCAGTATCTCCTGCACTGTAACAGGTTCCTTGGTGGTGACAGGGGCTCCAGGTCCTGCCACATTGTGTGCCCGCACACGGAACAGCAGCCGGGCCCTGGTAGGCAGGTCCTTCACCAGCATGGCTGTGCGCTCTGTCAGCCCCTGCAGGGCAGCCACCCACTCAGAGCCTGGGAGGGGGCAGGGAGGTCAGGCCACAGGCTGTGTCATACCCACCCTGCTGCCCACCCTTCCGAAGGCCGTCTGGGGGCCAGCAGGGTGCTGGTGCCGGCCTGGCAGGGGGCAGCGCCCCAGGCAGCACTCACAGCCCTCCTGGCAGTATTCCACACTGTAGCCGTCCAGGCCACCCGCGCCCACGCGTTCTGGAGGCCGCCACTTGAGAGAGACTGTGGTGTCCGAGACGTCCTCCACGGCCAGGTGGGTGGGTTCACCGGGAGGGCCTGGGAAAGGGGAGGACAGAGAGGGTCTGAGTGAGCTTGCTCTGTCCAGGAAACCTGGAGACCCATGACCCAGACCCTCAAGGGCTCGCCAATCTCAGCCTGGTGGACCTGCCCTTCAGCTGGCTTTCACACACTTTCAGGAGTATTTCCACTGCATTAAAAGCTCTCTAGGCTGGCTTACAAACAAACAGCAACTACAAAAGAAGGGCCTAAAGAGGAACAGATAGCCAAGAGGACACACGGCTGCTTACAAGGAGCCACCTCTGTCAGTGTCTGGAATGCTATAAATGCAGTATTATAATAATAGTAAAAAAAGGTTGGCCAGGCATGATGGC